ATAAGTTGGGCCCCTCGTCGGTCGCCCCCCACCGTTAATGGCCGTTCTCGTCATCCACGGGCTGCCCCGACGCGAACTAAGTTGCTCGCCTTCGACCGATGGTCTTTCCCGAGCGACTCACAGCCGGGCCCAAGGCGCGACATGGTCCACAGACCGAGCGCCGCGCCAAGTCTTGGAACCGCTGCATCGCGCGTCCGAGCCCGGAGCGAGGCAAAGCCGTGACGTCAAAACTTCACGGCTTCGCTGCTCTTTGAACCGGTTAACTTTAGCTTAGCCGGCAGTGGACGTATTAAAAACAAGCTAGACCAAGTGCTAGACCGCGCCCTTGACGAGACGGCCCTGGACGAAGACGGCGGCGACGTTGCGGTCGTCGCCGAGGTTGAGGAACTGCTCGAAGTCGATGTGGAGCCGGGGCGTGCCGTCGGGGATGCACTCGGGGAACGTGTCGTAGACGCCGGCCTCGCACCGGATCTTGCACGCGTCGAACTGCTTGCCGACGGCGAAGGAGCCGAGCGTGTCGCCGAGGCCCAGCGCCCGCGCGCCGCCGAGCGTCGCCGTCCAGAAGGCGTCGCGGTAGTCGACGTCGGGCTCGTTCGCCGCGTGCTTCGACGCGACGACGGCGTGGCGGCACGCGCTGAGCATGGACGTCGCGTAGCCGCCGGCGATGTCCGTGCCCAGGCCCACGGGCACGCCCCGCGCGTGGGCCCGCTTGAGGGGGAACGCGTTCGTGCCCTCGGACAGCGAGAAGACCGCGTTCGACAGCGGGCAGCACGCGACGCCGCACTTGCGCTTCGCGAAGAGCCCGAGCTCGTTCTCGTCGAGGTAGACGCAGTGCGCCATGACGCACTTGTCCGTCAGGAGGCCCGCGTCGTCGAAGATCGACGAGTCGGACCGGCCCGGGTGCAGGCTCGCGACGAACGCCATCTCGTCGGGCGTCTCCGACGCGTGGCTCTGGACCCAGCAGTCGTGCTTCTTCGCGAGCGCGCCGAGGCCCGCGAGCAGCGGCAGCGTGCACGTCGGGATGAAGCGCGGCACGACGCAGGGCTGGACGACGCGCGTCCTCGGCGCCGCGCCGGGCTGCCGCGCCTTCACGTACTCGATGACCGCCTCGGTGCCCGCGAGCGCATCCGCCGTCGTCTCCTCGTAGCCCTCGGCGCCGTTGCGGTCCATGCAGACCTTGCCGACGACGCAGCGGTGGCCCTTCTCGAGGCACACGTCCACGAGGACCTTCGTCGCCGGGACGTGGATCGTCGCGTACATGGCGCTGCACGTCGTGCCGTTGGCGAGGAGCCGGTCCACGAGCTTCTCGTAGACGCGCCGCGCGTAGGCGACGTCGGCGCAGCGCCGCTCGGCGGGGAAGGTGTAGTGCTGGAGCCACTCCATGAGCGGCTTGTCCGTCGCCGTGCCCGTGTACGCGTACTGCGCCGCGTGCACGTGGCAGTCGACGAGGCCCGGCACGAGGAAGTCCGTCGCCGCGAGCTCGACGACGACGCCGGGGTCGCCGTCCCGCAGGAGCGCCTCGACGGACGGCGTGTCCTTGGCGACGGCGACGATGGCGCCGCCGTCGACGACGACGAGGCCGTCCTCAACGTACTCGAGCACGCAGGGCGTCTCCGTCGCGTGCACGAGGCGGCCGCGGACCGCGAAGCGATTGGCGGCGAAGGACGCCATGGTGGTGCGGACCAGGAGACGGACTGCTCGGCGCGGCGTCGGTGTGTCGCTCTCGGCTTCGTCGACTGTGATGTGCAAGCTTCGTCGTGAACGCACTCCGGCTTGTGGCATTTTTCAGCGACGACCTCAAACTCCCGAGGCGCATCTAGGAGGGCGGCGCGAGATGACGCTCAAATAATCCGGCAGCGCAGCGCCAATAGGCACTAGTCGCGCCGCATCAAAATAATCGGCAGCCGCAGCGCCAATAAGGCGGCAGTAGTCGCGCCGAAAAATGTCGACACCACACAAAATAGACACTACGAGCGAGCGCGAGCCGCCGCAGCCGCGACCGGCCTGGCGGCGCGGCATCGGCCTCGTCGCCGCCCTCGCCATGCTCGTCGCGCTGGAGAGCGGCGAGTTCCTGAAGTTGGACGGCCACTTTCCATCGAAACGCAGCCACCGCACGTCGCTGAGCGCGACCTCCAAGAAAGCCGCGAGCTACCTCGCGTCGCACCTCGAGCTCTACAAGCTCGGCCACTACGTCAAACGCCACGGCGCGGGCCTCGCGCGGTCGCAAGGCAACAGGGAAACGAAGCTGGCGGCGCGCGTCGAGCGCGCGCGGGCGCGCGAGGCGCGGCGCCACTTCGGGTGGCTCGCGTACCGCGGCATGGCACCGGCCTACCTCGGCGCCGTTTTGGCGCTGTCGCTCTGGATGGGTTTGCTATTAGAGGAGCGGACGCTGCCCGCGCTGCGGTCCGTCTGCGTCGCCGCGCGCGTGCCCGACGACGTCGCCGGCGCGACGGTGCTCGCGCTCGCGACGGGCGGCTTCGAGGTCCTCTTCTCGACCGTCGAGACCGTCGAGGGCCGCGTCGGCGTGGGCCTCAACTTCGTGCTCGGCAGCGGCGTCGTCAACTTCGGCCTGCTGCCTTTTGTGGTTGCGTGCGCGGCGCGGGTCGCGCGGGGCGCCAAGGCGCTGCCCATCGACCTCGACCCGGTGCCCGTCGCGCGCGACGGCGCCTTCGCGCTGCTGGCCTTCGCGGCGCTGCTCTGGGTCGTCGCGGACGAGTTCGTGAGCCTGGCCGAGGCGCTGGGGCTGCTGGGTCTGTACGCGGCGCACGTCCTGGCGTGCTTCCTCGGCCCGCGGCCCGCGTCGACGCCGCCGGCGTCGCCCAAGGCCGAGCTCGAGCTCGGGTCGCCGGCGCGGCTGGTGCCGAAGAGCTCGACGACGCCGCCGGCGTCGCCGCGGCGCGCGGCCGACGACAAGGGCCACGCCGTGCGCACGCCGCGGGAGCGCGTTTTGGACGCCGCGCGGCTGCTCCTGCCGCCGCCGCTGCCCGCGGCGACGGCGCCGGGCGCGCGCGCGGCGCTCCGCGACGCCGCGCCGACGCTCGCCGGCAGCGGGCTCTGGCTCGCGGCGCTCCTCCTGCTGCTCACGCGCCTCGCGGACCTGCTCGCGCTCTCCGCGCGGCTGCCCCTGGCCTTCGCCGGCGCCGTGTTCCTGCCCGCGGTCTACGCGATCCCGGACGTGCTCGTGTCCGCGAACATCGCGTCGTCCGGCCACGGCCGCGCGGCGGTGTCGACGGTGCTCGGCGTCCAGGTCGTCACGGTGCTGCTCGGCGTCGGCATCCCCTTCACGGTCCACGGCTGCCTCTCGGCGAAGCCCGTCGCCGTCTCCGGCGTCGACTGCGTGCCCGCGCTGCGCTACGGCGTCTTCCTCATCGGCGCGCTCTTCGTGGGCTCCGTGCTCGGGCCGCTCGCGCTCCGGCGGCCGCCGTCCTTCGGCGCGCCCCAGGCGGCGCTCGTCGTCGTCGCCTACGTCGCCATCTCCGCCGTCGTCGCGCGCCGGACCCTCACGCCGGGGTAAACTTTGTGAGCTTCGCGTTGCCGCGCGGGAAAAACAAGTAAAAACAAGTGGAAAAACGAGGCGAGCCTGAGGGGATCTTCAAGAATCGAGATTCGAGGCTTCCCGTCACAGTGTTGTTCAGCGCGCGGCGCCGCCGAGCGTGTCGTCGTCGAAACGGGCCGTCGAAACGCATGCCGGCAGTACGCATGCGTCATGACCGCAGGGGCAGCCTCATGATCTAGGGTCGCCGCGCCGCTGCTCCGCCGGCGCGGACCGCGTCGATGAAGGTCGCGCCGCTGCCCGCCATCCCAGAGAACGAACCCACCCTGTCGCGGCGCCTGCGGGATGCGAAGAGCGCCGGCCACCTCGTGCGGCTGCGCATCAGCGGGACCATGGGCGGCCTCGGAGGCGTCATGTCGCGGCCGGCGCCGAGCGCGCGGGGCTGCCGTCCCCCCCCCCGACGTCGCGCCGCAGGTTCACGTTCATGGTCGTGGGCATCGCGCTGTGCTCGAACGACGTCGGCGGCTTCGCCGTCGGCAGCGACTTCTACCACGCGGCCGTCTTCTGCGGGCCGCCCGGCGCGCTCGCGCTCATGCTCGCGCTGCTCCCGACGGATCGGCGCGCGATCTACCGCGCGCGGCGCCGGCGCGGACGCATCCCCCCGGTTTCGCGCCCGAAAGCCGCCTCGCGCAGGTCCTCGCCTTCTTCAGCGTGGCCCTGACGCTGGCGTCGCTCGTGTTATTCGTCGTCGCCGCGCGCGACACGCCGGGCGTCGGCGCCGAGGGCCGCGCGTGCCTCGAGAGGAAGCCCGCGTGGTTCTGCGGCGTCGTCGCGGCGGGCCAGTGGCTCAAGGGCGCCATCACGCTGGCGACCGTCGCCGGGCTCGTGTCGGCCCTGTGGCTGCCGACGCGCGCGTCGCTGGACCGCCTCTGGCACTGCGCGGCGTTCGTCTGGTTCGGCGTCGGCGCCGCGCGGCTCGCGCAGCGCGTCGCGGCCCAGGTCCGGCCGGGCGGCGTGCGGCCGGGCCAGCACGTCGGCGAGTGGCTCATCCTCGGGAGCTACTTCTTCTTCGGGGCCTGCGCCGTCTGGCCCTCGTTCCGCCAGCGAGCGCACAGCGCGCTCCTCGCGCGCGGCGGCCAGATCTCGTCGGCCGCGGGCGTCGCGGCGCTGCTCGGCGACCACGACGTCGACGAGGTGAAAGTTGGTCGCGAGGTCGAAGTTCTTCGGCGTCGACGTCGCGCGGGTGGAGCTGGCGCACATCCAGAAATCGACGCCGGACCCGGAGCTCTTCAAGCTCGCGAAACCGGCCGAGTACGGCCAGGTCGACTGGTTCGTGAGCCACAGCTGGCGCGAGGACGCGGACGCCAAGTACGACGCGCTCCAGGAGGCGCGCGCGCGCTTCCGCGAGGAGCACAAGCGCGACCCGGTCATCTGGCTCGACAAGTTCTGCATCGACCAGCGGAGCATCGAGGAGAATTTGATGTGCCTGCCCCTCTTCCTCGCGGGCTGCAACCAGCTCTTCATCTTGTGCGGGGAGACGTACCTCGAGCGGCTCTGGTGCATGCTGGAACTGTTCGTCTTCATCCAGATGGGCGGCCGCGTCGACGACGTCGAGCTCTTCTTCATCGCGCCCGACGGCGCGAGGCCCGCGCGGCCCCCGAGCGCGCGGACGCCGTCGCTCGGCTTCTTCCGGACGCCGTCGCGGCAGCGGGGCGCGCTCGAGGCGCCGCCCGAGGAGCCGCCCCTCGACGAGCCCGGGCGCGTCAAGGCCTTCTTCGAGCAGCAGTTCGAGCGCTTCGACGTCGCGCGCGCGTCGTGCTACGACGCGGTCCAGCGCGACCGGTTGCTGGCCATCGTCGAGGCCGGCTTCGGCGGGCTGCCCGCCTTCAACGACGCGCTCAAGGAGACGATGCGCGCCCTGAAGGCCAAGGGGCGGTACACGCTCGTCAAGAAGAACGGGGCCGTCTCGTGCGCCGCGTCGCCTTAATTCGCACTACCCCCTAGGCGCTCGCCGCCGCGAGGTCCGCGAGCTCGTCGAGGAGCGCGTCGGCGTTGAGGAGGTCCGCCGCGCCGTAGACGACGGTGCGGGGCCCGTCCGCGAAGGTCCGCTGGAGCGCGTGGTGCTCCGCGTAGCAGCCCGGGCCGACGACGAAGACGATGGCGTCGAGGGGCGCGTCGGCGGCGGCGCCCGGACCGCCGGCTTTACCGGAAGCGTAGTAGGACGGCGCGAGCTTCGCGTCGAGCTCGAGCCACGAGTCGTGCTCCGTGTTCGGCCGCGCCTCGAAGAGGTTCGAGAGCACCTTGGCCGCGTAGGTCTCGGAGGATTTGAAGAGGTTCCCGACGTTCTTCGCCGCCTTGGTCACCAGGTGCTTCGTGCCCGCGTGGGCCTTCTGCAGCAAGGCCTTGAACGCGTCGTCCTCGACCGCCGGCGGCGCCTCGCGCGCGGGCCCGGCCGCGTGCGCGCCCCCGAGCCCCCGCGCGTAGTCGATGCCCGCGAGCCCCCGCGCGAGCGCCGGGTCGTCGCCCAGCGCCGCGCGGAGCTCCGCCACGCGCGCGTCGTCCGCGTCGCCCTCGAGCGCGTGGTACGCGTACAATCGCAGCTTGTCGTTCGCCGAGCCCTTGCCCGCGGGCCCCAGGAGCTCCGCGAGCTGGTCCGCCGCCGCGCGCGAATCCTCGGCCTCGCAGTAGCGCGGCACCTCGCGCGCGACGACGGCCTTCATGACCGCGCCGAGCACCGCGGTGTGGTGCTCGAGCAGCTTCTTCCGCGCGAGCAGCGCGGGCAGCTCGCCCACGGTCTCCGCGAGCTTCGCCGCGTCGCCGTCGGCCTCCGTCGCATCCTGGCCCGCGCCGCGAGCTCTTAGCGCGTTCTCCGCCGCGCGGAGCGTCGCCAGCGCCTCGCCCGACGCGTCGATGACGTCCGGGAACGACTTCGCCGCGTGCTCGCCGTAGAAGCCGTCCTCGTCGACGCGCAGGTCGACCTTCTTGGCCCCGGATTCATCGGCGAAGGACGCGACGTTCGCCTCGTGGTCCAGCACGTCGTCGACCAAGGCCTGGTACGTCTCCGTGTGGCGCAAGGGCGTCGCCAAGTCGCAGTGGCGGTCCAGCAACACGAGGAGCGGCCGCTTCCGCGCGCCGTCGCCGCCGCCCGCGGCGCCGCGGCGCCGCCACTCGTCGGCCAAGAGCGCGTGGAGCTTGCGGGCCACGGCCTCGGCCGCGCCGCCGGCGGCGCACCGGAGCACGGGCGCGGCCGCGCCGGCCGTCGCGCAGACGCAGAAGAGGCCCGCCGCGAGCCTCGTCGCCAGGGCGTCGCGCCGCTTCGCCGCGTCGCCGCCGGGCCCGTGCCACTCGGCGAAGGCCCGCTTCGCGCCGAGCGCGAAGAGCCGCGGCTCCAAGGCGACAAAGTCGACGTGGCGGTCCCAGACCGCCGCGACGCGGTCCTCGGCGGGCGCCGCCGTCGGCGCCGCCGCGAGCTCGCGCGCGAGGCCCTCGAGCACGCGCCGGTCCACGCGCGTCGACCAGTTCACGTAGCACGCGCCGTAGAGGCCCGCGGCGCAGTCCCTGGCGACGCGCGCGGCGTTCGCCTCCGTCGGCCGGCAGAGGTAGACCGCCGCGACGTCGTCCAAAGCGTCGCGGTCGCTCTCGAGCGGCGCGTGGAGCGTCACGCCCCGCTTCCGCAGCTCGTTGACGGAGATGAGCGGCGCGAGGATGAGGCGGCAGGGCTCGTCGAGGATGAGCACCTTCCAGTCCACGGGGCCCGCCTCGGCGCTCGCGTCCTCGTCGCTCGACAGGGCGAGCATGCGCTCCACGGCGAGGCGCTGGCTCTTGCGCACGTCCATCGTGTCGGAGGTCGCGGCAGCGGCGGCGCGCACTCGTCGATCGCGGCGGCGGCGGCCCTCGCGACCTCGGACGTCGGCTGTTGCTCGATGATTGGCCGTACGCCTCTGCAGTCGCGCCGCAGCATCTCCGCAGCCCTGAGCCCTCCAAGCGCCCTCCGCGCGCCGCACGCCTCCACACGACGACCGCAGACGACGACGCAGCGACGAGGACCCCCGTGCGAAGCGAAGTCGTTAGTGGATCCAGTCGACGCCCGGCGCCTTCTTGACGGGGACGCCGATGACCCGGGGCCGCTGGGCGCAGGCGTGGTGGCTCTTCATGGAGGTCCGGTTCTTCGGGAACGAGTCCCAGGGCGCGTAGACGGGCCCCGGGCTGAGGTGGTGCTTCACGAAGCCGAAGATGGAGCCGTTCTCGTGCCTGCCGCCGTCCGTGAGCTTGCGGTCGTGGCGGTGGTCGCGCGTGAGGTCGTCGGGCGGCACGGTCTCCGGCGGACCCGGGCTGTGGGACGCGGGGATGTAGTAGTCCCGGCCCTGGAACCGCGCGGAGTCCGTGAAGTTGACGTCGACGAGGTGGTGCAGGTCCTGCACCGGCGGGAAGTACTTGGGCCCCGGCGAGTCGGCGCCGCGGCCCTTGAGCGCGATGGAGCTCTTCTCCACGGACCGCCACTGCACGGGACTGTAGCGCTGCGACGAGCTGAAGAGGCTCGGCGCGGGCGTCGGCGGCGGCGGCGTCAGCACGGTGGACCCGTCGCCGAACGTCGAGTCGCTCCGGCTCCGCGCCCGGGCGCTCCGCGCGCTCGAGAAGCCGAAGAGGATGCCGTGGTCGCCGGGCCGCGGCCGGCCGCTCTTGCCGTCCCCGAAGGTCCAGTACTTTTTGGGCGCGCCGTCCGACGTGCTCGGCCGCGACGCGCCGAAGCTGCCGCGCTTCGTGAGCACCGTGGCGTCGGACGTCGACGGCCGGTCGAGGCCCAGGGACCCGCTGCCCCAGGTCGCGCCCGTGCGGCCCCGGTAGGAGCCGCCGCGGCCGCTCGCCGCGGAGCCGCCCGTCGTGCTCGGCCGCGACTCGTCGCGCCGCCGCCGGCTCCGCGTGTCGTTGAACTCGAAGCGGCTGCTCGTCGACGACCCGAAGCCCATGCCCTTGACGTGGCGCTTCGCCTGCAGGTCGTAGTGCGCCGCCGGCCCGGGCGTGTAGACGGGCTGGAGCTTGGGGTCGATGTGGCACCGGCCCTCGTCGGCCGTGTGCACCGTCATGAAGCCGTCGTAGGCGAGGCGCCCGCGGCCCTCGGGCTCGTACGTCGACCCGGCGAAGGCCATCGTCGCACGGAGCGCCGCCGGCGGAGGCTGCCCCGCCGCGCGGCGTCGTCGTTCGCGCCGAGAGGCCGCGTTGTCTCGGTTGTTTCAAGAGCTCTTGCACCTTCAACCTTTCGATCTCGATGAATAGTGAGGTCGACCATGCCAGGCCTCATGCCACGCGAGAATATAACACGCGCCTTACCGCCTAGGGGTCGACGATGGTCGGCAGGGGCGCGGCCTTCGGGAAGCGCGAGTAGACGCCGTCCCGGTCGTAGTTCGCGAGGGCCATCTTGTCGCGGAGCGACAGGTCGCCCGCGTGGGGCCGCTCGACGCCCTCGGTCAGCTTGAAGTCGGCGACGACGCCGCTCTCGGAGATCGTCGAGTCGACGGCGCCCGACGCGTCGCCGACGACGTAGCGGAAGTCCGTCGGGTCCCAGGACGCGAGCGCGTCCTGGCTCTCCTGGACCGCGCCGTACGCGGCGGTCCACGCGGCGTCGTAGTCGACGCCCGTCGCCGCCGCGACGCGCTCGATGAGCGTGGGCCCGTCGAAGCCGTCGGCATCCTCAAAGGCCTCGCCCTTGGCCGCGAGCGCGTCGAGCGCGTCGAGCACGTACGCCAGAGGGAAGAAGCGCTCCTTCGTGTAGTGGTTCCCCGCGCGGTACATCTGGAGCTGCTGGGGCAGCAGCGGCGGCACCATGTACTGGAGGTGGAGCTGGAACTGGGACGGCGGCACGTTGAAGCCCGCGATCGCCGCGGTCCGCAGCGCGCCGGGCGCGGGCTTCTGCCGCCCGTAGATCTTCGCGACCCACGGCTCGTCGGCCAGGAACTGGGTCTCGACGGCGGCCCAGGCCCGGTCCTCGAGGCGCCGCAGGATCGCCGCGCCGGCCGCCGGCGCGCGGAAGAGGCTCGTCGCCGTCGGCACGTAGCGATCCGTGGGGATCGCGCAGACGTGGCACGGCGTGATGCAGAGGGGGTCGTCGAAGACGAGGCAGTCCTCCGACTCGTAGCGCAGGCTCAGCTTGAAGGGGAAGGGCCCCTTGGCGACGCCGAAGCAGAACCCGGAGAAGACGTTGTGCGTCGTCGACTCGGCGACGTTCGTCAGCGGCGCGCCGCAGCCGTTGCACGCGGCGATGGACACGGCGCAGACCTTGCCGCACTCGACGCACTTCTTCACCCGGTTCTCGCACTGGTACCTCGCCGCGGGGTTCGCCTCGACGAAGGCCGCCATGTCGCCCTCGAAGCCGGGCGACTCCTGGCCGCCGCAGGGCTTCCGGGCGCAGCCGACGACGCGCTCCTGGCGCGCGCCGGCGAGGGCGCCCCGCCCGCCGGCGAGCACGACGCAGCCCGTGCGCGCCGACGACATTGTCTTAGGAGTTTCTGCGTCGGTTGGAGCGCTGGACGCTGCGCGACGACGTCGTGCCAGGCCGTGGACGAGGCGTCGAGAGGAGCGCGATTGCCACAAGTAGGGGGGGACACTGAAAATCGGCCGATTGTAGATCGTCGAATTTGGCGGCGCCGCCCAGTGCGATGGATAGAGGGCATCTAACTGATAATCAAAGAGTCTGGGTTCGTGGAAATCGATCCGGATTTCGTAAAGTTATGGCTTCGCGAAGCCTCGTTTTTTTTCCTATGGGGCTGGACGAATCCCATTTCGTTCAAGGCTGGAAAATGTTGAAAATCGTGGGGGGTACACCCGCGTTTTCTTTTATATGTTCCATGGGGCCCGGCCCAACGTCGATCGAGCCAAAAATCTTGGGTGTACCCCCCCGGGAAGTCGACCAGTGCACCGATCAAAACTCAGATTCTGATAGCCTGGATTTAAAAGTCAACATTTTTGTTGAACTTCAGCACTTTTGTTGAAGTTAAATCTTGCGATTTCGCGACCCGAACCAGCGACCGCGCGCAAAAAGCCATCGCAAACGTGCAATTAACGCGCGAATATCATCAAACTTGCTTTGATACGACCATAACCCAATTTTGGCCGTGATTTCAGCCCGCGGACCGCCGCGACACCGCGCCCGCGCGCGCGGTCGACGTACAGCCTCTATGGACGACTAATGACTCTGGCTCCGCCGGCCGGAATTCGATGATTGATCTTTATTTATTAATTTCCTACGGGTGCACCTAGATGTACGTTGATCGGGGCACTGAAGTCGACCTACGCGTCTCATGCGTGAACAGAGACCCCAGGCGATTTTTTGGGGTAATTATCTTCTGTCCGAGCTACACTGTCCGCCCCAACCACAAGGCCATCGCTGCCGCGGCCTTGCCGCTGCCTTGCAGTCGCCCGTCCTGCGTGATGGCACTGCAATCTCCCATCGCCTGGCTGCTTTTGCTCGTGCCCGCGGCGGGACTGGCGCCGTCCCTGCGCGCCGCGACGCTCGTCGCCAGCGACGCGAAAACGACGGCGAAGCGACAACCCGGCGTCCTTACGACGCTTTACCGCTTGAGCGGCCGCGATTTAGGTGGTACGCGGACACGTTCAAGGTCGAATCGGACGGCGGCGACGTCGTCTTCGCCGAGGACTTCCGCCTGCGCTTCTCCGCCGACGGGACCAAGTCCAAGTTCGGCTGCCTCGGCGTCGGCGTCGAGGTCGCGGACGCGCCGGCGCTCGACGGCGTCGGCGGCGAGCGCAAGCAGCTGGACCTCGTGGCGTCCATGGTGCCCGACGAGGACCCGGAGCTCGAGACGCTCGTCGACGTCGCCGAGCTCGAGGACCCGGCGGGCTACACGGTCTGGGCGACGGCGGCCGTCGACGCGCCCGCGCCGTCGAGCCCCGCGCCGAAGGTCGTGCTCCTCGTCAAGGACCTCGACGCGTCCATCGAGTTCTACACGACGGCCCTGGGCATGACGTTGCTGCGCAAGCGCGCGCTCCTGCCCCACGCGGCGGCCATGTCGGGCTTCGTGGGCTTCTCGGACGCGACGGACGGCCCCGAGGGCGGCGCGTCCGGCGCGCCGCGCGTCGAGCTCCGCTACAACTACAACAACGACAAGGTCGACCCGGACGTGTCCCTCGCCGTCGTCGCCGACGCCAAGGCCTGCGCCATCCGCGCGGGCATCTGCGGCGGCACCGTCGCCGGCCAGGCGGACGGCACCGCGACGCTCGCGGACCCCGACGGCTACACCATCGTCGTCGCCGACGACGCGGCGAGCCTCTAGGGAGGGGTAATTGGTGCGTGGGCCGAGGCCGGGACCGTCGTAGTCCGGAGCCAGGCGCCGGGCGATGTCGCGGACGCCGTCGGTGCCATCCGTCGAGTCGTCAAACACAAGGTCCGTCATCCGGTACTCCGGTGGTGGCTTTAAGGTTGCGACAGCAACGTCCAGTTGCCCGACGCGCGCATCGCGCCGCTGGTCGCTGCTGGCGTGCTTTTCGAGCATGACTTCGTCCCGCTGGGCGGGGACTACACGTTCGATATGACCGGCGGCGAGCTCATGCGCCTCTTCAAGTACCGAAGACGATGCCCTCGTACGAGATGGGAGCTGGGAACACCGGGTACTACGGGTGGCGCCGCTGTCGCAGCTCCAAGAAGTACACGATCCAGCTCGGCGCACGCGTTCGATGTCGACTACTGGATCGCGTGATCGTTCCGACTCGGGGACCGGCTCTTCCTCCGACGACGCGTATGGGGCGACGCTGTACGACTTAATGGTGACATGCATAGCGTCTTTTGGCTCTTTGCCAGTAAGCCGACGCCTGACGCGCGTGCGACGATCAATCCGGTCAGGCTATCCTAGTTAAAAATTAGCCGGGTCGCTGATCAGCTCGACGAGCCAAGTCTCGACCTCGAGCTGCGTCGCCGTCCCGTGCCCGCCATCTGAAAGCATACCCACGCGTCACCCCGCGCCACACGCCCTCCGACGAACCTCGTCCGACGCCTCGACGCTTCCCGCCCCGGGGCGACGATACCACGCCCCGACGACGGCGAGACGCTCTCCCTTTGTGGCGAGAGCCAAAATATAAAAACCCCCGCGGACCCACAGACCCCCTAAACCCACCCGACGCCCCACAGGTCGCGCCCCCGGCGTCAATGCCCGCCATGGACATCAAGGAGGCCCGCGAGAAGATGATCGCGCGCCGCTTCGGCGGCGTCGCCGCCGACTCGCGCACCGGCGGCAAGGGCACGGCCCGCCGGAAGAAGAAGACGATGCACAAGACGGCGTCGTCCGACGACAAGAAGATCGGCGCGACGCTCAAGAAGCTCGGCTGCACGGCCATCCCCGACATCCAGGAGGTGAACATGCGCGGACCCGGCGTCGATTCCGCGCGACCCGGCCGCCGACGCTCCCCGCCCGCTCGCCGGAAGCGGCCGAAAAACTTCGGAAAAAAAAACACGCCATCTCCCGTCCTAGGTTCACCAAGGAGGGCGAGGTCATCCACTTCGGCCAGCCGCGCGTCCAGGCGTCCATCGGCGCGAACACGTTCGTCGTGAGCGGCGCGACGGACACGAAGCGCCTCGAGCAGCTCATGCCGGGCATCATGTCCCAGCTCGGCCCGGAGAACGAGCCCGCCATCAAGAAGATCCAGGAGATGATGGGCGCGACGGGCATGTCCATGGGCCAGATGGCCGACCCGAACCGGTCGAACCTCGAGGGCTCCGACGACTCCGACTCCGACGACGGCGACATCCCCGAGCTCGTCGAGGACTTCGAGGCCCAGGCCAACTAGATTGCGCCTGAAGCGCGGCCTTCCCCGGTCGCGCGACCCCTCGGCACCCGGTCCGATTTCCGCGCGCGCGCCCCGGCGCCCCGCGAACCCCCGTAACACCACCTCCGATGAAACTTTTTTAGGGCCCGGCCCAGGGCAGGCCGTCCAACCCGTCCTCGGCCGGCCGCAGGTTCTGGAGCGCCGACGCCTCCTGCTGGCGCTCGCGCTCGAGCGCGGCGTTGCGCCGCGCGACCTTGTCGAGCCGCGCCTTGCGGTCGTCGCGCGTCTCGCGCGTCTCCGCGACGACGGCGTCGAGGTCGCGCTTGAGCGCCTCGAGGTCGCCGAGGACGCGCAGCTTCCCCCGCTCGTGGGCCGCGGCCTGGCCCTCGCTCTCCGCGATGGCCCGCCGGAGGTCCCTCGCGAGCGCGACGGCGGCGGCGAGCTTCGCGTCCGCCTCGGACGCGAACGTCGCCTTGGCCGTCTTCGCGTGGTCCGTCGCGAGGTCGCGGTCCCCCCGCGCGCGGCCGAGCTCCGCCTTGGCCGTGCGCAGCCAGCCGAGGCGCTTCTCGCAGTCCGCGAGCGCGCGGAACGTGCGAGCGGGGTCGCCCTTCGCGGGCTTCTTCGCGCGCGGCGGCCTCCGCCCCCGCTTCTCCACGCGCACCGCCAGCGCCCCGACGCCGCCGTCCGTGCCCAGGCCCGCGGCGAGCTGGTCCAGGGCCTTGGACGCGACCGCGAGCGCGCGCGCCTCCGCCTTGACGTCCGTCGCCGCGTGATCGCAGCGCCTTCGCGCCTTCGCGAGCGCCGCGTCGGCCGCGTCGGCCCGCGCGGCCTCGTCCTGCGCCGCCGCCTTGGCCACCTTCGCCGCGTCGGCCTCCCGGGCGACCTCGGCCGCCGCGCGCTCGCAGCGCCGCGTCGTCGCGGCGACGGCGGCGGCCGCGGCGGCCGCGCGCTTGAGCCTTTTGAAGAGCCGGTCCTCCGCGGCGACGACCGCGGCCTCCGCCGTCGCCCGTTGCACGGCCGCGGCCTCGCGCGCGGCCTTGGCCGGCCGCAGCATCGCGTTGAGGAACCAGCGCTCGAGCGCCGCGGCGCGGCACGTCGAGTCGGCCGCGTCCAGGCGCCGGCTCAGCCGCGCGCGCGGCGTCGCCGCGGTGGCGCACCGGAGCAGGGCGCGCCGCCGGCAGGCCGCCGCGGCGCGCTCGCCGTGCCAGGCGGCGGCGACGCGCGCCAGCAACGCGCGCCGCGCGCGCGTCTCGCGCGCGGCCGCCCACGCGACGACGGCGGCGCGCCGGCCGCGCTCCGCCGTCTCCCGCGCCGCGCGCCGGTCGCGCTCGATGCGCGACCGGCCCGCGGCGGCCCGCCGCGCGATGCGCCGCAGGCCCCGGAGCGCCTTCCGCCGCGTCGCCGCCGCGCGCCAGCCCTCGAAGCCCCGCCGCGCGAGCGCCCCGAGGTAGCGCTCCAAAGCCTTGGCCGCGGCGACCCTAAAGCGGCCGACGTCGTCCGCGCGCTCGCGCCACAGAGCCAGCGCGATGGCCCGCGACCGCCGCTCGGCCCCGGGCCCGCGGACGAGCCGCGCGACGCGCGCCGCGGCCGCCGCGCGCCGCCACGCGAAGAACCGCCACCGCCGTTTCAGCGCGTCGGCGACGGGCGCGACGCCGCGCGCCGCGGCGCGCCGCCGGCCCACGGCGCAGGCCAGGACGCGGCGCCAGTCCCGGAGCACGCGCCGCAGCAGCCAGGCCGCGGCGACGCGCTCGCGGCGCTGCCGCGCGCCGGACGCCCAGCCGCGCCAGCGCGCCGTCGCGGCCCTCAACCGCCGCGGCGTCGCGATCGTCAGCGCGTTTTCCCGGAGCCGCCGCGTTTCAACCGCGCTCGCCCGCCAGCGCGCCAGCGCGGCGCGGGCCTTGGCGCGGGAGGCGGGCGGGTCCGCGCGGCGCCGCGCCGCGGGCCCGCGCGCGGACGCGGACCGGAGCGCGTCGACGCAGCGCGCGACCGCCGCGCGCGCCGCGAAGTCCGCGGACAACGCCACGATCTTCCGGGCCGCGACGGCGCTCCGCAGCGCGGCGAGGCCGCTCCGCGCCCGGCGCCGGAGCGTGCTCGGCAGCGCGACGTCGTCGTCGTCGCCCGCGACGCGCCGCGCGGCCCGGAGCCGCCGGAGCGTCCGCCGCAGGAGCAGGGGCGCCCTGGCGGCGGCCAACCGGGGCAGCCCGTCGCCGCCGGCCGCCGCGGCGTGCTTCGCGATCAACGCGGCGACGTCGGCGCCCGCGGCCGCGCGGCGCGCCGCGCGGCCGTCGTCGCTCGAGTCGCCGCTCGAGTCGCCGCTCGAGCCGCCGCTCGCCGAGTCGTAGCCGCCCGCGTCGAGCAGCGCGGCCGCGCGGTCGCGCGCCGCGGCCTTGGCGTCGTCGGCGGCGGCGGCCAGCGACGCCTCGGCGTCCTCGAGCGCGTCCCGGCGCCGGTCCAGCCCGGCGTTCGCGTCCGCCAGGTCCGCGGCCGCGGCGTCCGCGGCGGCCTCCGCTTTGCCCGCGGCCTCGACGGCCGCGTCGCGCCGCGCCATGAGATCCCGCAGCTTGCCGCTGCGCTGCACCGCCGCCGCCAAGACGGCCCGCAGGCGCTCGAGCTCCTCCTCGGCGTCCTCGACCACGGACGTCGCGACGGTCGCGTCGTCGGGCGCCTCGGCGCGCGCCGCCTCGGCCACGCCCAGCTCCAGCTGCCGCGCGGCCAGGGACCGGCGCCGCTCGCTCGCGACGGCGGTCTCCAGCGCCTTGAGGCGCCGCTTCTGCGCGCGCGCGTAGGTCTTGAGCGACTGCAGACTGCCGTCGTGCGCGTCCGGCGTCGCGTCGTCCTCCAGGAGCGCGTACGACGCCGAATCGAGCCCCGCGTCGCCGCCGACGAAGTCGTCGACGTGCTTCGCGACCTGCTCGAGGCGGTCCGTCTCCGCCGCGCGCGCGAGGAGCACCGTCGACCGCCGCCGGCTCGAGCCCGCGGTCGACGCGCCGGCCGCGGAGCCGGGCGCCGGCGGCGCCGCGGCGGGCGCGACCTGGGCCGTCGCCGCGGACCCGGACGCCGCCGTCGCCGCGGACCCGCGGCGCGCGGGCGCCGGGGGGGGCGCGGCCGGCGCCGGCGCCGGCGCGGCCCGGGGGAAGACGTGGAGCGCCGCGGACGACGCCCGGGGCCGCGGGGGCTCCGGCCGCGGCGGCCGCGGCGGCGGCGCCGCGGCGGCCGACGGCCGGCGCCGCTCCGGCGGCGGCCGCGGCGGCTCCCGCGCGGCGGACCGGCGGCGCTCCGGCGCCGGCGCGGGCGCGGGCGGCGCCGCGTGCGGCGCCTCGTCGGCCTCGACGAAGTACGCGTCGTCGACGTCCGACTGCTCGTCCGGGTCCGCCTGCTGCGGCGGCAGCGACGCCGACGGCAGGCTCGCCGACGGCAGGCTGGACACGACGGACTCGTGGTCCTGGGCCGGCGGCGGCCCGCCGTCGTCGTCGTCGTCGTCGTCGTCGTCGAAGGGCGCCGCGCGGTCGTCGACGAGGCCCCGCGGCCGGCCGTCGGCCGAGAAGCCCGCGGCGGCCATCTCCGTCCGCGCGGCGTCGCACAAAGCCCGCACGGGCAGCCGGCTCCGGTCCCGGTGCTCGGCGCCGTCGTTGTGCTCGCAGGCCTCCAGCGCGCTCATGTACTGGCGGTTGATGCCGTCGAGCACGCGCGCGAAGACGTCGTCGCCCGCGGGCCGCTGCTTCCCGCCGCGCTTCATGGCGAAGGCGGCCTCGCGCGCGGCGTCCTCGACGCGCCGCCGCACGTGGGGCGCCTCGTGGGCGCAGGCCCCGTCGAGGCGCCAGCGCTTGAGGAGCTCGCGCGGCGTCGCCGCGGGCGGCCGCGGCTCCGCGTGCGGCGCCGAGAACGCGGACGCGAAGACGCGCCGCAGCTCCCGGTGGCACACGCGCAGCTTCGCGTAGATGCCGATGGCCCGGGCCCAGAGCGCGCGGCGCACCAAGTCGTCCCAGATGGCGCCGTTCTTCCGGTCGCCCGGCCGCGCCGCCGCGCGCTCCGCGGGCGACACGTCGCGGCCGTCGAGCCGCTTGAGCTCGTCGCCCGCGGCGCAGATCGCGCGGCAGCGGTAGCCCGGCAGCCAGGAGACGGCGTTGCCGTCGAGGGCCAGCGTCTCGAGCTTCTTCAAGGCGCCCAGGTGCGCGAGCTCCTCCAGGTGCGCGACGCAGTTGTTCGTCGCTGATAAAGCGACGACGTCTCGGAACTGCGAGATGCCCCGGAGCGACGTGAGCGCGTTGTTGCTCAGGAAGACCGTCGCGCAGCCCGCGGCGAAGGCCGGCACGTCCGCGATCTCGCTGATGAGCTCGCCGACGAGCGAGAGCCGCGACCCCTTGACGCAGCCCTCGCCGTGGCGCCGCGCGGCCTCGCCGACGGTGTAGCGCCGCGCCGCGGCCGGCGTCGACCGCCGCCGCGGCGCGAAGGCGCCCTTGCCCTTCCAGACGCGCCGCGGCGCCGCGGCGGGCGCCGGCGCCGGTGCCGGCGCCTGAGCCGGCGCCTGAGCCGGCGCCGGCGGCGCGCGCGGCTCGGCCTCCTCGCCCTCGGACTCGCTGCTCGACGCGCTGTGGTCGCGCAGCGCGGCAGGGCGCAGCTTCGACTGTTCGAAGAGCTCGGCGTAGCCCATTTGTGTTCGGCGCGTTCACGCGTTCGCCTAGCGCATTTGTGTTCGGCACGGTTCGGCTATATAAGGTCCATGCTTTCAAATAGCTTGCCTCATCTATGCACAGGGGACACTGGCTGGCACAGGATGTAGGCCGCGCCGACGCGGACGAGTGGCTCGAACGCGCGCGCGGGGCAGGGGGGGGGGGAGGCGAGATCCTACTTCGCGCGGGCGGCCGCGAGCTCCGCCTGGAGCTGCTCGATCTTTTCGGCCTGCGCGACCGTGGTCACTCCGGTCGTGAGCGAGTCCTGGGTGGTGACCTGGGCAGCAAAAGGGTGCGAAATTCCCAACTTCAAAGGCTCATATCTCGGCCGTTTTCCACTCGTTTTGGCTGATTTTTGGACGAGCGATCATCTCTCGGAACGGTCTCGAAGCGTGGATGCTTTTTTCGGAACGCGCGCGCGCGGAACACTCATGTTGAAGCGACGTTGAATCACCCTTTTGCTGCCCTGGTGGTGACGGTGAGCGACTCGATAGTGTTGTCGTCGCGGTACGTGTAGTGGCGCTTCTCCTTGGGTTTGGCGAAGGTCACGCCGCGCTGGTCGCCGAAGCGCGCGGAGGACTGCGCGAGGAAGGTCGATGGCTCCTCGCGGAACTCGGAGGGCGCGCGGGTGCCGCGGTTCTTCCGCGCGCCGACGCGGCCCGCGACGCCGCTCTCGCCGCCCTCGGACGGCGTCTCGGGCGGCCCGCGCCCGCGCTTCTTCTTCGGCGGGCTCGCGGCCGCGGGCGCGCCCGTGGCGCCGTTCGTCGGCGCGTCCGTATCGCCGTCGGCGGGCGTCTCGCCGTCGCGCTTGTTCGCGGCGGACTTGGTTTTCGCCTTCTGCTGGTAGTGGAGCTCCGCTTGGCGCTGAGTTTCGGTGTTCTCCTTCAACATTTCCTGGACGGCGTGCTGCTCCGCGACGTATTCGTCGACCTTGTCATCGTCGACCTTCTCACCCGAGTCGCCTTCGAGGCAGTCCTTCATCTTCTGTATGGCTTGTTGTGCGAGCTCGTCATCCTCACATTCGGCCTCCATTTGGTCTAGGACGTCCATCGGACCTTGCCCAGGCGCAGGCGGAGTCGCGTGAATCGTGTGAACACGTGGAGCGTCGCGTCGAGAGGCTCTCCTCGCTGACTGAGTCGCTCGCGAAACAAACAAAGCGAGCCATTAGCTTTCTGGCCGCCGGGGGTATAGAAAAAAAATTATTTTCGGGCCGGCGGCGCCCGACGCCTCGCCCGTCCGGGCGGGCGAGCCGCGCCTCCCGTCGGCGACGCCCGAACGGGCGGGCCTGCTACGGTCGAGGACGCGGGTTTCGGCGTGCCACGCGGCGGCCGTGCTGCGCCGCGGCGTGCGCGAGGCGCTGCACAGCTTCCCGCCGTCGCTAGGGGACTGGGTGGACACAGCGAGTTACGCACCTAACTCGGCCGCCTTCCGCGCCGCCCCCCTCGTCTTCTTCACCTGGGCCTTGAACTCCTCCGCCGCGTCCGCCACCGCGCCCGTGGACTTGAGCACCCGCGTCAACTGCACCGCGGCCCGCTCGCGGCGTTTCCGCTTCCGCTCCTTCGCGATGCTCTGCTCGACACTGGGCAGGGAGGAGCCCACGGGCATGCTGCGCGTCTTCATCGTGATGGGCTGGAGCCGGTCCTGGTCCTCGGGCTGCTCCTCGTCGTCCGAGCTTTCCGCCGCGAACAGCTTCTCCCGAACTTCCGTCGCGAGTATCTGCATCCGCTTCGAGTTCTTCATTTCCGGCAGGTCTCCCGCGGCGCGGGCCCGCGAGTAGCAGATCCTGCAGAGCCGCCCGCCGAGACGCGACACGAGTTTTTGCCCTTTGAACCTTTTCGTTAGCATCTTGTACGACAAGGTCGAATTCCAGCCCACGATCACTGGGTCGTTGCACGTCTCGCAGTTCCCGAACTCGAACCCGGCCGCGCGCGCGTCCTCCACGAGCTTCTCCCTGAAAGCCGCGTGCAGCTGCTTCATGATCACGCTCGGGTGACGCCCGGGTGCATAAACATAAGGACCCCGCTGCTTCACGGCCGGGGCCGACATCGTCGCTCGAGATCGGCTGCCGACCATCTCGACCTCCTGCGCGTCCTGCTCCTCGTCGGACGACGAGTGCGTGTCGTCGTCGTTGACGTACTTGCCCTGGTAGACGCCGGCGGCGTGGCCCTGGCAGGGCACGACGGGGCCGGCGCACGGGTCCCACCGGTAGCCCGCCGGCGGACGCCCGGTGGGACGCCGCTGAGCGGGTAGCGGCTCCGCGTCCGGGTCGCTCTCCTCGACGCCGATCCACGCGCCGCGGTACTGGCCCATGGGGTGCGACGTGTTGGTGGTGTCGACGGCGCCGCCGAGCGGGTCCCAGGTCTTGGGGCGCTGCTTGAGGTCCTTGGGGGCGGGGCCACGCGGCTTGGGCGCCGGCAGCGGCTTCGACGCCTTCTCGCGCGCTTCGGCCTCCTCCTTCTGCTCCCGGTCATGCCTTTTCTTGAGCATGGCCGCGAAGGCGCCCACCTTCAACTTCTTCGGCGGCGGCTGCGCGTCGGCCATGGCGCTTCGGCTGTCGACGCCGACACGTCGGCGACTTCGACCGGATCGTCAGCCTCGAACCTGGCGGCGCAAGAGTGTTTCCGGTAACGAGCAGTTCAACCCTACTCCTCAACCTTATAGTGGTCCTCGTCCAGCAGCGTCGCGGCCTCGATGGCGCTCCGCTGGGGCCGCTGGACGCGCGCGAGCGTGAACGCGTCGCCGAGGTCGCGGCGGAGCTCGAGGTCGTCCGCGTCGCACTCGTAGTCGAGCGTGAGCGCGCCGTCCGTGGGGATGCCCTTGGCGAGGTTGCCCGTGTAGCGTACGACGTCCCAGTTCGCCGGGAGGTCCCAGCCCGGGATGGGGTCGAGGCCGTGGAGCCGGCGGAACGTCGGGTGCTTGAAGTTGAGGCCCGGCTCGACGGCCGCGAGCTGCGTGAGCACGTGCGCGACCTTCCAGTGGTCCGGGTAGCGCAGGTCGATGTCGTAGCCCGCGATCTCCGGGTTGCGCACGTCGAGCACGTTGAGCCAGCCGAGGCGGTGGATGACCTCGTTCCGGTTCTGCGGGATCGGGAACGTCGGGTCGAGCACGGCCCAGTAGAAGTTCTCCGGGTCGAGGCACCTCGAAAAGAGGTGGACGACGAGGTCCGCCAGCGGCCGGAACACGGGCGGCGGCGGCGGCTCCTCGGGCTCCTCCGCGGACGCGGCGTCGCCCGCCGCGACGGCGTCGACGGCGGCCGCGGCGCCGTCGGGCGGGTTGGACCGCTTCGTCGCCGACCGGGGCCGCGCGGGCTTGGCGCCGTCCGCCGGCGCCGCGGGCCCCACCTCCGTCCGCGCCGGCGGCGGCGCCAGCGACCGCTGGATCATCGCGGGGCTCAGGTCGCGGCCGCCGGACCGGCCGAACGACGCGAGGCGATCGAGCGACGCGCGCCGTTTCATGAGGGCCTTGGACTCCTTCTCCATGGCGGCCTTGCGCTCGCGCCACTTCTTCTGGATCTCGAGCTTCTCCTTGTGGTGCTCGAAGCGCTCGACGATGTGCCGGATCTGGCGGCAGAGGAAGAGGTCCGACGTCGTCGCGAGGCGGCACTGGAGCACGACCTTGGAGAAGTCGAGCTCCTCGGGCGACGGCGGCTCCTCGCACTCCTCGTAGGGCACCCAGGCGCCGTGGACGAAGCCGCTGTCCCCGCGGCAGGGGAGGAACGGCCGCTCGGGCAGGCCCCGGACGTAGACGTCGTAGTAGAAGACCGTCGCGGCCGTGTCGACGCCGTCGAGGAACTTGGGCGGCAGCGACGACGCGTTCTCGCCGTTCTTGCAGCGCAGCGTGAGGCGCACGTCCTCGTGGCCCACGCGGACGCCCAGCCGGTCGCGGCACGCCTCGACGACGCCGAGGATCGCCGCGCGCGCGGGGTTCGACTGGAGCCGGCCGTCCTGGTCCACGGGCAGGCGCCGCGAGATGAAGGTCTCGATGACCGGCGGCGCGCCGTGGGCGACCTTGCTCGCCGCGCGCGCCGCGCGCGCGCGGATCGCCGCCTGGACCTTGGAGATGAAGCTCAGGTCGTCCATGGACGTGCGCCGCTTCAGCTTCCGGGGCTGGCTCCGCTGGGACCGGTTCGAGTCGAACTTCGCCGGCAACAGGTCGCTGTGCTTGACGGACTCGCGCTTCGCGACGTCCCCGGGCGTCGGCGCCGCGTGGCGCCACGTGAGCGCCGAGAGCTCGCCCGGGTGGCAGACGCGCGCGCGGACCTCGAAGACGGAGCGCACGATCTTCACGGACGGCAGGGACTCGCCCGGGCCCGCGCCGCCCCGGCCGCCCGCCGCCGCGGGCAGCAGCCGCCCCTCCTCGACGTCGCACCGCATCGCGGCCTCGCCGACGTCGAGCGACGCCGCGAGGCTCTCGAGGTCCGCGCGGTGCCAGGTGACCCGGGGCGTCGCGTAGCGCGCCTCGAGCCAGTCGGCGACGTCCCAGGGCTTGCCGTGGTGCGCGGACCGGTCGCAGACGCCCTTGAGCTTGAGCCGCTTGAACTTCTCGCGCTTGTGCGCGGCCGCGGCCTCCGCCGCGGACTCCGACGACTGGCTCGCGCTCTTGTAGCCGACGACCCGTAACTCCTTGGGCCGCACGGTCTTCTTGCGCAGCACCTGCTGGAACATGAACGTCGGCATGAGCCGCGTGAGCTTCGCGCTCTTCGTGACCTCCGTCGCGTCGAACTTGAGGCCGCAGCTGTGGAGCAGCGTGTCGACGCGCGCCTCGCCCGCCGGCGCCGCCGTCGTCGGCGGCTTTAAATTCGCAACGTAGTCGAAGCTCAGCGTCCGCTTGCCCGCGACGGGGTTCGGGTCGTGCGCGCCCATCGAGCCGAAGCCGACGGCGAGCCGCTCGATGGCGTCGTGCTTGATGCGCACGCGGTTCATCGTCGCGTTCCGGAAGCCCCGGTAGTCGCCGTGCTGGCTCGTGCCGCCGCGCGCGAGCGCCGCGGTCGTGTCCTCGTTCGCGTAGACGCCCACCGCCTCGCCGCCCGCGTCGCCGCCGTCGTCGCCGAACGCGCCGCGCTGCTGCGCCGCCTGGATCGCGTCGTAGGTCACGAGGCGGTGCAGGGCCGCTCTTTCCACCGGCCGCGTGAGGTCGAGGTCGTGGTGGCCGCACAACGCGCCCGTGAAGACGCAGTACGCGCCGCCGAATTTCGACCGCAGGAGCACGGCCTGGTCCCGGCTCAGATTGCGCTCCATCAGGTTGTGCACGCTCTGCGTGTCGACGACGCGCTGCAGGAGACAGAAGAGCGCCTCGACGAGCTCGTTGCCGTCGAAGGGCCGGTGCGAGCTCCCGACGCGGTCCAGCAGGTCCTGCGCTTGCGCCGCGACGACGTAGACCTCCGCGAAGGCCAGCCGCAGGAGCGTCAGCCGGTCCTCGAGGGTCGTGCGCACGAGGACCTGGGCCACCGCCAGCAGCCCCGTCGCGTTGAGCATGCCGAGCTCCGACGCGGGGAGCGCGTGCTGCTCGAACTCGAGCTCGAGCTTCGCGCCGCGCCGCGGCTCGAAGGGCTCGCCCGTGTCGCCGTCGAGGAGGCACCGCTTCAGGATGCGCAGGCGCTGCTGGCTGCCCGTCTCGTTGGCCGCGTGGGCCCGCATGCCGAAGCGCGGCCGGCCGCGCGTCTTCGGTCCGTCGCCGCATCCGTCGACGTTCCGCGCGAAGGACGCGACGTCCGAGTTCGTCGCGAGGATCGCCGCGCGCTGCTGGGCCTCGCGGTGCATGCGGATCGTGCGGAGCCGCCGCTGGAGCATCTTCGCGGCCTTCCACTCGGGCGCGAACGGGTTCGCGACGACCTTCTTCTTCGGCGCCGGCGCCTCGTCGTCGTCGCCGGAGCCGCAGCCGCCGGAGCCGTCGTCGAAGTCCATGTGGTCCGCCGTGAAGAAGGCCGCCGTGCCCAGCTCGAGGAAGTCGTCGAGCTCGTCGGGGTTCACCGTGCCGCCCTGGTCCGTGTCGAGCGCCTGGGCAGCAAAAGGGTGATTCAACGTCGCTTCAACGTGAGTGTTCCGCGCGCGCGCGTTTCGGAAATAGCACCCACGCTTCGAGGTCGTTCCGAGAGATGATCGCTCGTCCAAAAATCAGCCGAAACGAGCGGAAAACGGCCGAGATAGGAGCCTTTGAAGTTGGGAATTTCGCACCCTTTTGCTGCCCTGTCGAGCGCCGTGACGAGCCAGTCGATCTCGTCGTCGGTGACGCCCTGGGCGCCGTCCTTCGGCAGGCGCAGGTCCCGCCGCGTCATCTTGATGAACTCGTCGGCGTCGATGCCGTTCATGTCCTGGTCGTAGCGCTTGAAGAGCGCCTTGATGGAGATCGTGCCGATCGCGTCCCTGAGCCGCTTCTGCAGGCGGTTCGCCGTCGCCTCGTCCATCTTCGGCCGCCGCTTCCGCGCCTTCTTCGGCGGCTTCCAGCCCACGGTGCCCGCGCCCTTGCCCGCGTTGTCGTCGAAGCGCCGCACGAGGGTCACCTGGCGCCGGTTCGGCTTCGCCTCCTTCGGCGGCGCGATCGCGCCCTGGGCCTTGGCCGCGGACACGACGAGCCGGTCCACGGTCTCGGCGCGGATCTGCTCCGGCGACTTGTCGAGGTCGCTGACCTCGCCCTCCGGGGGCACGTCCGCGACCTCGGCGATGCGCTTAAACCGCGCGCCGGGCCGCGTCGTCGCGATCCACACCAGCGCCCGCGCGACCATCCAGTCGCCCGGGTCGTCGATGTCCAGGACGTACTTCCCCGCCGGGCTGTCGCTGTCGAAGCCGCCGGCGGCCGACACGTCGAAGGCGACGTCGTTCATGAGCAGCGTCCGCGGCCGCCGCGACGTGTTGAGCACGCGCATGAGCGCGCGGCCGCCGAGGAAGCCCACGGGGTTGCCGCTCACGTTGAGCACGTCCAACGCGTAATTCTCGCGCATGCCCTCGGCGATGACCATGGCCGCCACGGGCCCGACGCCCGTGTGCGCGAGGTTCAGCGTCCGCAGCCGCCCGTTGCTGTCGAGCGCGCGGCCGATCGCCGCCGCGCCCTTGTCGCCGATGGAGTTGTAGGCCAGGTTCAGCCAGCGCAGCGCGCGGTTCACGCCGAGGCCGACGCCGATGGCGATGCCCGACGACGTGCCCAGCGCGTTCCAGGACAGGTCCAGCTTCGTGAGGTGCGCGTTCTCGACCTGGGCGGGAAAAGAGTGCGACATTCCCAACGTCAAAGGCTCCTCTCTCGGCCGTTGTCCACTCGTTCCGGCTGATTTTTGGACGAGCGATCATCTCTCGGAGCGCTCTCGAAGCTTGGATGCTTTTCCTAGAACGCGCGCGCGCGGAACACTCAAGGGTTGAAGCGAATCACGCTTCTCCCGCCCCGTTCTCGACGAGCATCACCGCGACGGCGACGCCGCCCGCGTAGTGCCAGCGGGGCCCCGCGGACGACGAGAAGCTCGACCGGCGCGACGGCGACTTCTCCAGCAGGCCGCCGGGCTTCGTCGACGCGTTCCAGGGCGCCTTCTCCGCCAGCGGCGGCGCCTTCGCGGCGTCGCCGGCCTCGATGACGACGGGCCGCAGGAGCTTCTCCCCGTAGCCGCCGAGGATGTTCCCGCGCACGGACATTTCGGTGAGGTGCGTGTTGACGGTCATGGCCTTCATGAGCACGCCGCACTCCGTGTCGTCGAGGTCCGCGGTCTCGAGCGTGAGTTTCTTGAGCGCGCAGCCCGAGAACGACACGAACTCCGCGATGGACTCGACGGCCTCGAGGTCGATGTCGTTCTGCGACAAATTTAAATTCGTCAGCCGCGGGCAGCCGCCGCCGTTGTGCGTGCAGACCGCGTGGAGCACGGCCGCGATGCCCACGTCCGTCATGCGGTTGTCGCGCATGTTCAGCGTGATGAGGCGCGGGATGTTCGGGATGATCTTCGCGAAGGCGCAGGCCAGGCCGTCGCCCAGCGCCCGGTGGCTCAGGTCGATCTTCTCCGCGTCGCCCTCGGCGCCCGAGCGGATGAAGAGGGGCTCCGGCAGGCAGCCGAGCGGCGCGAGCTCCGCGCAGCACCGCGCGAAGACGTGGCGCGGCGAGTCCCAGGCCTCGAAGATCTCGGCGTCGGCCTTGCCCGTCACGACGGCGCCCGGCGCCTCCGTGACGTCGTCGTCGTCGACGAGGAGCTCGCCGTCGTCGTCGGAGACGTCGCGGCTCGGCGCGGCCGCGAGCGTGTCCCTGACGACGTCGTCGAGCGGCAGGTGCAGCGGCACGGTCTTGCCCTTGCGCAGGATCCGCCGGTAGACGTCGAAGTAGCGCGGCTTCGCCTGCTTGCCGACGTAGTCGCCCCGCCGCAGCCCGTTGGGGAAGAGCGCCGCCTGTTCGTCGCCGGCGACGGAGAGCCGCGCGCTCCGGAGCGTCGCGGCCGTCGACTCCGCCGCCGTCGACGGGTGGTGGCTGTCGACGGAGCCCCGGTGGAGGTGGGGCCGGTCGTCGTCGCTCTCGGACTCCGTGTCCGTCTCCATCTGGTCGCGGTGCTTCGACGGGAACCGCAGCGTCCGGTTGAGCTCGTTGTAGCCCAGGATGGACGCGCGCCGCTGGAGCATGGACCGGTTCTTCTGCGCCCGCGTCGGCCCCTCGGCGGCCTGGCGCCGCCGCTTCGCCTCGAAGTCGAAGGACTGCTTCTGCCGCAGGTCGAACTCGAGGTCGCTCATCATCAGATCCGGCGCGACGTTCCAAAAGCTCGGCGGCCGCTCCTCCGTCTTCGTGCCGCGCCGCGCCATGAGCAGGGACGGCGGGGCCACGGCCGTCTGCGACCCCGTGCGGTGCTTGCGGCCGGGGCCGCGGTTGAGCATGGTGGCGCTCTTGCTCCCGCGCAGGTCCTTGGCCGGCGTCTGCGAGCGCAGGTGCAGGATCGAGGCGGACTTGGACTCATTGAGCTTCTTCGACCGGCGCATGGTTCTCGAGCGGCGCCCGTCCTACGCCGAGGCGAAAGCAGCGGCAACGCCACACCACGCCGCGCGCGGGCTGCCCATGCGACAGGCGCTGATAAGGTGTTGTTGAACTTTTAATTGAAGCTTCAATCCCTTCTGGCTCCGATCAAGGCATGGGTATGGCGATCATGGGCAGCCCGCGGCTCCTGCTGCTCGCCAGCGTCGCCTCCGCTGGACGCGTCTATCACTTGACGGACATTCATGTCGATCCCATCTACGTCGTCAACAGCTCTACGGCTGCCTACTGCAACGGGCCCGTGATCAAGAACGCGTCGCTTCAGGCGCCCATCTTCGGTGCGCCGGTGGGCGATTGCGCGACGCCCGAGGCTTTGTACGACTCCGCCCTCGCGTTCATGGCGGACCAGCCGGCCGCGGACATGGTGCTCTTCACCGGCGATTTCACGCAGGCGGGCCTTCAGAGAGAGGCGGGCGCGGACTCCGTGTTGGACACGATCGCGGCGACGCACGAGAAGCTGCGCGCGGCGCTGCCCGGCGTGAAAGTCTACGGCGCCGTGGGCAACCACGATTCGTATCCCGGCGACGTGTTCGACTTCCCCTACGAGGCGGGCTACGGGCACTTTGCGGCCCTGTGGGACGTCGAGGGCGACGCGAAGAACGCGACGCTGCGGGGCGGCTACTTCTCCCAGCGCCACGACGACGCGCTCGTCGTCATCTCGCTGAATACCAACTACCTAAGCATGCTAAATCCGCTCGTCAAGGACAACAGCTCGGCCGCGCATCGCGCCGGCTTCGACATGATGGCGTGGTTCGGAGGCGAACTCGCCGCCGCGGAGCAGCGCGGCGACGTCGTCTACGTGCTCGGGCACATCCCGGGCGAGTCCTGGCTGCCGGCCCACAGCCTCACGTACCAGCGCTTGATGCAGCGCTACGCCGCCACCGTCAAGGGCCAGTTCTACGGCCACGACCACGAGGACTACGTGCGGCTGACGCGCGAGTGCGACGACGCGACGTGCACGGGCTCCGCGACGGGCGTCGTCTTCGTCGGCCCGTCGCTCACGGAGGGCTGGCCGAGCGAGAACCCGGCCGTGCGCGTCTACGTTACCGACGGAAACTACACCGTCGAAGACGCGCTGACCTACACCGCCGACATCCTCGAAGCCAACGAAAAGGGCGCCGCGACCTGGGTGCTCGAGTACTCGGCGAAGGACCGGCTGCGCCTCGACGACCTGTCGCCGCGGTCCTGGGAGAAGTACGTCGCCCTCCAGCTCGCGACGAACGAATCGGCGTTCGACGACCACGTCGCGCTGCGGCGCCGCGGCTACCGCGGCCCGCGGTCGCGGTCGTCCGGCGACCGCTGCGAGGCCCTCACGGACCCCTGCGCCGTGGACCTCCTCTGCAAGAGCAACTTCTTCAACGACGCGGACTACGCGTTCTGCGTCAAGAATTAAGTCCTCTCAGCTTCTTCAACGACGCGGACTACCAAAGCTGCGTCAAGAATTAAGATCATGATTTCTTCTTGCCGAAGCCCGGGAATTTCGACTTGGCCTTGGGCTTGTCCGGCGCCGCGTCCTTGGGCTTGTCCGGCGACGGCGGCGCGTCGCCCTTGGACGCGTCGTACTTGTCCTCGGCCTTCTTCTTGCCGCCGAACCAGGACTTCTTGTTCTCGGCCTTGGCCTTGGCCGCCGCCTCCTCCTTGGCCTTCTTCGACTTGTCGACGGGGCCCGTCGGGCCCTCGCCGCGCTTCGCCGCGTAAAAGTCCTTGTACCACTCGTAGAACAGGTCGAAGGTGATGATGCCCTCCAAATCCAATTTCTCTTTGATGTCGTCGACTTCGGTTTCGGGCAACCGGATCCGCAGATTCAACAAGAGCTCCTCGAGATCCGGCGACGAGATCTCGTCCATGTTGCCGATGACCATGAATTGCTCGCGGACGGCCTGCATGCCCAGGCTCTCCGTCGCGTCGGCCTGCATCGCCAGCGGCAGTTTTCCCTCGTTCGCCTTCTTGATTTCGGCCGCGTTTTTTTCCGCCGCCGTCATCTCGCCGGACTTGTCGCCGTCCTCGTCGTCGTCGTCCTTGGGCGCGTCCAGGCCCGCGTCCTCCGCGTCCTCCTTGGCCTTGCGCTCCGCCTCCTTCTTCGCCTTCAACGCCTGCGACTGCGCGAGGCTCAGGCCCTGCTCCTCCTTCCCGAAGGCCGCCTTGAGCACGCCCCTGATGACCTGCGTCGCCATGATCCAGAAGAGGACGACGATGACGAAGGAGAAGCCGACCATGCCGACCGCGCCGCACGACGGGTCGCTCTGGACCGCGGCCGCGAACTCCGCCGTGTGGGCGCCCATGATGCCGACGCCGATGAGGAACAGGTCGAGGTAGCAGGCGATGAGGTGGCCCAGGCTCGGGAAGGGCCGCATGACCGCGATCCTCCGCGGGCGGCCGCGGAACTCGAACGCGAGGTCGTACGTGTAGCCGCAGTAGCTCCAAAAAAACACGAACACGAAGAGGTAGGCCACGCAGAGGACGCGAATGAAGCTGCTCCGCAGGCCGACGCAGGGGCCGCTCGGCGTCGTCGGCATCGTGAAGAAGATGAGCTGGCCGAGCGTGATCACGAGCGCGCCGAGGAGCGCGACGGGCAGCGGGCCGATGAGGAGCACCGGCGACCAGCGCCGGATCTCCGCCTCCTTGACGAGGGGGAAGAGGGCCTTATTTTTGGCCTTGGGCGCGCAGGCGAAGAGGTTCTGCGAGATGGTGAAGGGACCGAAGGTCTTGAACACGCAGAGCAGCCCCATGACGATGGGCAGGACGATCTCTTCGACTGTTCCAATGATCGCCTCCATGTCCGGATTCCGGTACCAGACGTTGGGCATGGTCGACGAGGGTCGCGCTGCGGCCGAGGCCTACGGCCTGCTACACCGCCCCGGAGCGAACCGCACCTAACACACGCTGCCCCGACGTCCAGCGCGCAAGCTATAGCTTTAGCGGGCACACAGGGGCACCGCCGCGTGCATCGCAAACCCGCGCAGCAGCCCAATAGTTCTCAAGGTCATTGATGGGGCTCGATCGCACTTAACCCCATGGTCGCCCCCGGCCGCGCCTCGGCGGGGTCGCCGGCGCACTGGCGGAACCCCTTCGGCGCGTGGACGCCGCGCTTCCACGCCCGCGACGAGGACCCGAACGCCTCCCCTCGGGCCTCCGAGGCCGCCGACGGCGCTCCCCCGAAGCTCGTCATGGAGGGCGGCGCCTACCTCTGGGACGACTCGCCCTGGAGCAGCGCGGACCGCATCGCGTCGCTCGTCGACGGGGACCCGGGCCGCTGGCGGCGCGTCTGGCTCGAGGTCGTCGTCGACGAGGGCGTCGCGTACTTGTGCGGCTGGCGCTGGCGCGGCGGCCACGAGCTCCCGCGGCGCGTGCCGCCGGACGTCGTCGGCCGCGTCGGGGGCGACGGCTTCGCCGTGCAGATCCCGGCAAACTTCTCCCGCGAGGACGCGCCGCCGCCCCGGGGCACGGACTCGAGCCGCGACGCCGCGACGCCGCGCGCGTCGCTCTTCGACGACGCGCGGGCGACGACGCGCGCGTCGTCGCGCCTCCCGCCCCTGGGGTCCTACCGCTGCGTCGTGACGACGTCGGCGACGGGGCCCCTCGCGCTCGCCCTGCCGAGCCGCCACGAGCTCGCCGCGTGGACGGACGCGCTCGAGTTCGCGCGGTTGGGCTTCGCGGACGAGCCCGGCGACGACGACGGCGACGTGCGGAGCCGGCGCGGCCTGCTGGACCGCGTGCTCCACAGCCCCTTCGCGCGCTACCAGCTGCGGCGCTTCCTCGAGGACGAGTTCGCGCTGGAGCTCCTCGACTTCTGGGACGCGGTCGAGAACGTCCGGCGCCTCGCGGCCGCGGGCTCGGGCGCGCGCAAGTCCGCGGCGGCGTCGGTCTACGGGCGCTACGTCGAGAAGAACGCGCCGCGGCAGGTGAACATCTCGGCGTCGCTGCGGGAGCTCACGCGGCGCGAGGTCGAGGGCTGGAGCGCCGAGGCGGCGTCGAAGCTCCGGGCCGCGCGCGGCGACGGCGGCGACGACGGCGAGGCGGCGCGCGACCCGGCCGTCCCGCGCACGCTGCGGTCCCCCAAGGGCTCGCACCACTGCGTCGTCACGGAGCGCCAGTACCGCAAGCTCGAGTGGATTTTAGGCGCGTCCGAGGCCGCGGTCGCGCTCTCGACGGGCGCGAACGGCCGGCGCCTCAACAAGCTCGAGCAGCTCTTGGGCGGCCGCGAGACGGCGCTCGCCGTCGAGTCCGGCGACCTGTCGAGCAACGCGCCGGCGCCGCGCCGGTCGACGCGCGACCGCTACCGGTCCCTCAAACGCCAGTTCACGCGGACCTTCGCGTCGGCGACGTCGGCGTCGAGCCCGCCCGTGGCCATGCCGCGCAGCGCGAGCTCCCTCAGCGACGACGACACCGGTGTCGTGAGCTCGCCGCTGGCGCGGTCCGCGAGTTCGACGGCGTCGGGCGCGTCGCCGCCGCGGCGGTCGTCCGTCGGCCTCTGCCGGTCCATGCTCGTCGGCGAGGCGCGGCCGCGGTCGCGGTCCGCGAGTTCGACGCCGCGGACGCGGAGCCGGAGCCGGACGGCGACGCCCTTCGACGCGGCGCAGGTCGAGATCTTCAGCTGCCTCGAGAACGACGTCTTCGGGCGCTTCCTCGCGACGGAGCGCGGCGACTTCGCGGAGCGCGTCGTCGCCGCCATCGGCGCCGCCGACGGCGTGTTGCACAAGGGCAAGCTGCGGCGCGCGCACCCCGGGGCCCTCGTGGGCCCGCACCGCTCCGCGTACTTTGTGCTCGGCCTCCGGAGCCTCGTCTGGTACCGCTGCGAGGGCGACGCGCTGCGGCCGGGCGCGGCGCCGACGAACGAGATCTGCCTGAGCCGCATCCTCGCCGCCGACGCCTTCGAGCCGTCCGACGACGACGGCCTCGCGGACGACGACGCGGCCGCGGCGTTCGTGTTACGGGTCGCCGTGCCGAGCCGCGAGCGCGAGGACGCCCACGACGCCGAGGGGTTCGCCGGCGGCGACGCGGGCGACGGCGACGGCGACGCGCCGCCGCGCCGCGTCGAGTGGAAGCGCGCGGACGTCGTCTTCGTCGCCGCGGGCGCGCGCGACCGCGACGGCTGGGTCGGCCTCGTGCGCCGCGCCGCGGAGACCGCGCGCGCGCTGCACGCGGGCCCGGCCCACGAGGACGCCGCGGCGGCCCTGGAGGCGCTCGAGTCCGCGGCGCCGGAGGACGGCGACCTCTTCGCGCCGCGGAGGTCCGACGCGTCGCCCGAGGTCCTCGCGGACCTCGAGGCGTTCTCCGACGACGAGTCCGACTTCGCGTCCGACGACGAGAGCGTGCCCGTCGCGTCGCGGAGGGTGCGCTTCTTCGAGGAGCCGCCGTGAGTAATATGGCAGCGTGAGTAAGACGGGACTACATATGCCCGCGTCCGCATGTAAGCATGGGGAATCGGGTTGACTTACTTTCAATTGCGCGCCGCGTCGATGGCGCGTCGCGCCGCGTCGATGGCGGAAGGCGTCAGTTGCTCTCCGTGGAGGAGCTGCGGTCGAAGGACCGCTGGATGTAGGGGTCGTACTCGTCGAAGGACCCGCCGGACTGGACGTTCGTCCAATGGTGCGAGTCGCGCTTGTCGTAGAGCATGTGGTGGTGCGAGCCGTGGCGCGCGATCTTGTGGCTGTGCGCCGCCTTGGGCACGGGCTTGGACATGATGGCGTTCCACATGGCGTGGCCGCGCGCCTCGCGCTGGAGCTTCTCGTGGTGCTCCTCGATGAAGAGCGTGCGGCTCGTCTTGTGCGTGCGGTCCATCGTGTGTGGTGGTGTGGGTGGGCGGAGGTGAGGCTTGCGGGTGCTTCGAGTTTGGTCGAAGCTTGCTGGGTGTGTTTTGCTTTTTGGTGCGACGCCATTCGGGCTCCACTGCTTTTCCTGGTGTGCCGGGCAGGGAGGCCGAGTGGATACTTGCCGCACCTTGAAATTGCGCTTTGTTGCCTTGCTCTCCAGACGATGGGCGTGGCCGTGCTCGACTTGCCGTTGTTGATACGTCGTGCGGCTGGCAGGCCTTGAAATCACAACGCCGCTGACAAACTTTCTGAAGACTGCGCGACGCGAAGTCTTGCCGCACGACGTATCAACCACGGCAAGCAACAGCTCGTAGCAGCGAATGCAGCTCGACCTGCACCAGGCGGCGAAGCAGGGCGACCTGGAGACCGTGCTGCGGCTCCTGGAGGCCAAGGACGTCGACGTGAACGCGCTCGACGCCTTCGACTCGACGCCGCTCTTCTACGCCGCCCTCTGCGGGTCCCTGGAGGTCGCGGAGCTGCTGCTGGCCAACGGCGCGCGCTGCGACGCGGGGACCTTCGTCGGCGAGCGCTGCTACTACGCCGCGCTCAACGACGACATCCGCCGCGCGCTCAAAGCCTACGGCGACGTCGACTTCTCGAAGCAGCAGCGCCACGCGTACGGCAAGTTTTTGCTGCGCCTGCGGCAGGAGCGGCGCTTCCACGACGTCGCGTTCCACGACGGCGACGAGCGAATCTGTTCGGCGCCGCGCGTCGTTCTCGGCGCGCGGTCGCCGGCGCTGCGGAAGCGGTTCCTCGCCAAGTGGCGCGGCGCGGCGACGGTCCCCGCGCCGGCGAGCCGGCACCCGGACGCGCTACGGGCCGTCGTGGACTACGCGTGCTGCGGCCGCTTCGTCGCCGACGACGCGCTCGTCGGCGACGCGCTCGCGGTCGCGCGGGCGCTGGGCTTCGGGGATCTGGCGCGTTTCCTCGCGGGGACGCGCGCCGCCGCGCCGGGCAAGGCCGTCGTCTACGAAGACGAGCTGCCGTCGCTGCGCGCGTCCTTCGCGCCGCTCGCCGAGGCGGCGGCGCGCCCCGGCGCCGGCGACCCGGAGGTCGAGGCGTTCGCGCGGGACCACGGCGACGTGCCGCTGCGGTCGAACGACGGCGCGGTGTTCCGCGTGCCCGGCGCGTTCCTGCGGCTCCACTCGTCGGCGCTCGACGCGGCGTGCTCGGACCGGTGGCGGAGCGGCGGAGCGGCCATCGCGCTCGACGCGTCGGCGCGCGCGGTCGAGGCGCTCGTGCGCTGGTGCGTCTCCGGCGCGTGCGCCGACGCGCTCGCGGGCGACGCGGCGGTCGCCGCGGAGACGCTCGCGCTCGCGCACGAGCTCATGATGCCCGCGGAGCTGTCGCGCGCGGCGGCGGGCGCGCTCGCCGGGTGCCTCGAGGCCGTCGAGGACGACCGCGTCGCCGCGGCGCTCGCCGCGCTGCCCTACGCGGCCCTCGCGGGCGAGCGGGGGCGCCTCTACGACGCGGTCGTCGACGTCCTCTCGAAGCACGTCGCCGAGGCCGTCGCGTCGCCCGGCTTCCGCGACGCCGTCCTCGAGAGCGCGCGCTCGATCCAGGCGCGCCAGGCGACGGACAGCATCCCCCTCGTCGACGACATCCGCGTCGCGCTCCACGACCGCGTCAACCCCTTCGACGAGTACCGCGACGAGCCCGCGGGGACCGCCGAGGCCGCGGAGCTCGCGAAGCTCGACGGGCTGCTCGAGGAGCTGGGGCTGTCCGGGTAACGTGTGTTTTTCTTCTTCGGGGCGTGGTCTCGAGCGGTTCTTTGAAGCGAGCGCGCGCGCGCCTCGCCGCTCCCCTTTTCTACGGCCCTAGAGGAAGAGTTTAACGGCGGACACCGTCGTCGCCGCGCGTCCGGGGGACGCCCCGCGGACCCGCGGCGAGTCATTCGCGTCGCGCCTTTGCTCGTCACCGAAGCAGGGACTCCGGCACGGGCCGTTGGCTCTTCTGGAATCCCGCGACGAGCGCCTGCTTCACGTCGGCGCGGCCGCCTTGGAAGCCCGTGAGCTGCCGCGTCCCGGAGACGACTGCGCCGCGCCCGCCGGCGGACGGGTCGACGACGCGGGCGTAGCCCCATCAGCTCTTCGCCAGGGCGCCGCCCCACTCCCGGTGCGGCTCCGAGGCGGCCCCGGCCTTGGAGCGGTCCCAGGTGTTGAACGCGACGCAGACCATCTCGCCGCACGCCTCGACGATCTCCCGGGCCTCCTCCGAAAAGATGCGCCCCGCGTCCTTGCATCCGTGTCACCCGGGCCATTCGACGAAGTTGGCGAAGACGAGCTTCTTCTGCGCCGACGCCTCGGCGACGGCCTCCTCCATCGTGGTCCCGAAGCTGCGGTAGCGGAGCGTGCCGAGCTCCACGTGCTGCCGGCCGAAGGACGCCATGCTTCGAAAGCTGCGCGGCGCACAGCTCTTGCCTGAATGCGACCTGAACGTAGGACTCCCGGGAGGTCGGGTACGGGAGGCGGATTCAGCTCAGCCGAGGCTGGCCCGCATAGCCCGCACTGGAGTAAAAGTCGGCCTCGATGCTTTGTTGAAGGCCGAATCGGTGGTGTCGAGGGTGTGTAGGGGTGTGGGCTCGACCTCGGGCAGCCCCGACCGAGAGACCATGAGCGATGCCGAGTTTTTCGCGAAGATGGCCAAGGAGAAGAAGATGCTCGACGCCCTGGAAACGGGCGGCCGCAGCGACGCCGAGGAGGAGAAGCGGCGCGCGGAGCTCGAGGCGAAGCGCATCCACGAGAAGCGGAAGACGCAGCACTTCGCGCGGCTCGCGGCGTCCAACGGCGGCGGGTCGCCGCGGGACGCCATGTTCCGCAGCGGCCGCGGCGGCCGCGGGGGGCGCGGCGGCCGCGCGGCCCGCGGCCGCGCGAGCAGCTCGAACGACGACGCGAACTACGACGAGGGCTTCGTCGCGGAGAAGGACGACCACGCGACGTTCTTCGAGGAGGAGGGCGAGGACCACGCCGACGCCGCCGCCGCGCCGCCGCCGCCGGCCGCGGAGCCGCCGGCGTCGCCCGCGGAGCCCGCCGTGGAGCCACCCGCGGCGCCGCCCGCGGAGCCCGCGGATGCGCCGCCGCCCGCGCCCGCGGCCGCGCATGCGAAGGAGGCGGCGACGCGCGACGCGGCGGCGCCGACGCCGACGGCCGGCCGCGGGCGGGGCCGCGGCGGCCGCGGCGGCCGCGGCGGCCGCGGCGTCGGCCGCGGCGCGAGCGGCAAGGTCAGCAGCCGCCAGTCGAACGACTTCATCGACGACGACGACATCGGCGGGCCCGACGGCGACGCGCCGGAGCGCGCGCGCGCGGCGACGCACGAGCACACGACGAAGCACGCCGACGGCGGCCACGTGCGGAACTCGCAGCCCGCGGCGAAGAAGTCGTCGACGTTCCTCCGGGGCCTCCGGAAGCAGGTCGCGGCCGCGACGGGCATGCACCATACGTTCTCCGCGAAGAAGTAAGCGTGTTTTTGGGCCGCGGCCGTGGCCGCGGCGTGGCCGCGCGCGGCCGTGGCAGGGAACGCTTCACTTAGTCTTCAGCTTCAAACCTTGCACTTCTACTAGTAAGAGCAGCATGGTGCCCGGCGGCGCTGGGCGCGGCGCGACAGCCCGTCAGTCAGCAGCCCAGCGGTAGCCCGGCGTGTCGATGAGGAGGGCGTCGGCGGTGGTCCTGGGCGTGCTCGTGGCCGACGCGCGGGCGGCGTGGCTCACGCGCTGGGCCGAAGTCGATGGAGATTGCGTGGACGGCTGGCGACGTCTCGACGTGGCGTGCGTCGAGGACGATGTCGTCGTCGACGAGGGCCTCTGCGAATCCGAGGACCGCCCCGACGCCTTCGCGGCGTGCTCGGCGCGGATCGTGCACGTGGACGCGGCGGCCGGCGACGACGCGAACGACGGCTCCGCGGCGTCGCCGCTCGCGACGCTCGGCGCGTGCATCGACAAATTCGGCGTCGACCACAGCGCGACGAAGTGGCTGCCGGAGGAGACGGCGGAGCAGCTCGTGTGCTCGCTGCGCGGCGGGACCTACGACCGCGAGGCCGGCGCGCGCCTCGACGGCGCCGACCACGTGCTCGTGGCGCCCGCGTCGGCGGACGACGTCGTCGTCTTCGACGGCACGGACGCGGTCGGCGGCGTCGCCTGGGTCGCGCACGCGTCGCACCCCGGCGTCGTCGTCGCGGACGTCGCCGTGGCGCGTCGGGGCGAGCTCCTCGTCGGCGGTTCGGGCCTCCAGTGCGCGAACGAGAGCGCCGTGAGCGACGGCGGGCACGCGCCGAAGCTGGGCTACGGGACGGCGAGCGCGCCGTGCTTTTTGTGGGAGCCGGACGAGGCCTGGGTCGCGGGCGGGGCGGCGTTCGCCATGGACGACGCGGTCGCGTACTACGAGGCCGGCGACGCCGCGGTCAACGCGAGCGTGCCCTGGTTCTGGGTCGACGAGCGCCGCGGGCGGGTCTACGTCGACGAGGCCCGAGGGCCGCCCGACGCGAAAACGCTCCGGCGGAAGAACGCGACGCGCGGCGACGTCTTCGTCGTGGGCGACGCGTCGCACCGCGTCTTCGTCAGGGACGCCCACTTCTACGGGACCGGCTGTTGCGGCGCCGGGCCGTCGACGAAGTCCCTCGTGTCGCAGGATTTACGCGTGTCCGGGAGCCGGTTCCTCTACGCGCCGCCGACGGGCGTCCGCCTCCGGACGACGGCCCAGAGCAAGCGCGGCGGCACGCCCTTCGCGGCCTTTTTAAACAACACGGTCGAGTTCTCCGAGGCCGCGCTCTTCTACAAGGGCACGGGCTGCCGCGTCGTCGGCAACTACCTCGCCTTCAACTCCTTCGAGGCGCGGGGTGCGTACACGCTGGACAACATGGCCCAGCGGTCCGTCGTCGCGTTCAACACGCTCCTCTACAACGGCGACAAGGGCGGCCACTTCTCCTGGGCGCGCGGCCACTTCGTGTTTCGGAACCTCGTCGTCGGCCAGGACTTCCTCGGCCCGCGCTTCGACGCGGCGGTCTTCCACGCGGTCACGACCGCGCAGCGCGGGCTCGTCGTCGAGGAGAACTGGGTTTTGGGCCCGAGCCTCGTGTCCTTCGCGCGCCTCGACACGTCGAAGACGACGACTCCCGCCGGCGCCGGCTCCGACACGACGATCCGCCGCAACGTGCACCTCGGCCTCGGCCTGACGCTCAAGGGCTACAACCACACGGTCGAGCACAACACGGGGTCGCGGCTGCTCGTCGTCGAGGCCTGGGCGGAGATCGACGACCACAACTACGCGTCGCTGATCCGCTACAACGCCCACTCTGCGACCGCGAGCCGCGGGTCCACCGCGGCGCACGGCGCCATCCCGGGCCTCTCGTACCTCAACGCCTGCGGGGACGATTTGCGCGTCTGCAACCCTCGCAACGACAGCGCGCCGCCGGAGCTCGCGAGGCAGCTGCGGCCGTTGCGCGACGGCGTCCAGGCCGAGCTCGTCGAGGGCGCGTGGCCCGCCGTCGACACGTCCGGCGTCGGCGAGGGCGGCAACTTCAACGAGGCCGGCGTCGCGGACGGCGCGGAACTCCTCGGGAGCCTGCCGCCCCACGCCGTCGGGACGCCCCTCGCCGAGGGCCTCGACTTCCGCCCGTCGCCGTCGGGCCGCCTCGCGCTCGCCTGCGACGCCTGCGGCGGCGACGCCGCCTACGACGATCACCTTGGCGCCTACGCCGTCGACGACGACCTCTGGGTCCCCGGGTGCTACGCGTGCGTCCCCGGAGGAGCGTCCTCCCTGCCCCCGTTCCCGTACTCGCCGGGACCCTCTCGCGCGCCGACCGCCGCTCCGACCGCGGAGCTCACGGCCGCTCCGACCGCCGAGCCGACTGCGAAGCCCTCTCGCGCGCCGACGGCCGAGCCGACTGCGAAGCCCTCTCGCGCGCCGACGGCCGAGCCGACCGCCGAGCCGACCGCAAAGCCCTCTCGTGCGCCGACAGCCGAACCGACCGCCGAGCCGACAGAGCAGGTCGACGGCGACTGCATGGATTCCACTTCGTGGTTTTACAAGAAGAAGTCGAAGAAAGACTGCGCGTGGGTCGCCGAGAAGGGCAAGCGCTGCAAGAGCAAGGTCGCTGACGATGACGGCGTCAGTTCTCTCGACGCCTGCCCGGTGACCTGCGGCTCGGGCTGCGCGTGTGCCGATTCCACGTCGTGGTTTTACAAGAAGTCGAAGAAAGACTGCGCATGGGTCGCCAAGAAGACTAGGCGCTGCAAGAGCAAGGTCGCCGACGACGCCGATATCTCCAGCAAGGAGGCGTGCCCCGTCGCCTGCGGCAGATGTGACTGACCAATTAGCTGACCAATTAACATATCCCGCTAGTCGCTTCGTTGCGTTCGAGGCCACGAAGCAGATTGCGACGTTCACCAAGTTCATGTTGCAGTTCAAGGACTGATTCATCTTGCCACAGCCAAATCTTCTCGGCAGCAGGACACTATGGATGCTTCGCGTGGCGGCGCTGGCAGGCCAATGGCACACCTCGCCGCGCTCTGCGTTGCGCTCGCGATGCCGCGGATCGGCGCCTTCAGCGCCAAACCCGCGCTGCCGCCGGCGTTCTCCGCCGGCAGCGACGACCGCTACGCCGAGTGGCGCGTCGACGTCGGCGCCCTCGACGCGTCGCGCGGCGACCCCGCCGTGGTCGTCGGCGAGTCGCCCGGCGCGGGCCACGGCGTCTTCGCCGCGCGGCGCGTCGCCGCGGGCGAGACGCTGACGGAGTGGGTCGGGTGCATCGCGCCGACGCCGGAGACGCGGTTCGGCGAGCTCGAGCTGCAGCAGGAGTTCTACGGCGAGGGCTGGCGCGACTTCAGCCAGCGCTACGAGATCGGCCTGTCCGGGAGCGTGATCGTGGACGCGGGGGGCTCGAGCGTCGGCGGCGTCGAGGACCACGTCGTCCACGCGGACGAGTACTGCTCCGTCGACGAGGGCATGGCCGCGTGCGTCGCGCGCGCGGGCGAGATGGACTACCTGCTCCTGGGCAAGACGCGGGAGATGGGCGCCTGCGCGCGCGAGGGCGTCGCCCAGCTCATCAACGACCACAGCGCCATCCTCGCGGGCGCCGGGGGCCTCGTCGGCGACGTCGACGGGCTGCTCGTCACGGAGGGCGCCGTGCCCGTCGCCGCGGCGCGGCTCGCGCTCGGCGCGGCCGTCGACGCCTACATCGCCAACATCGGCCCGGGGAACAACGTCGCCCTCGTGCAGGCGCGCACGGGTTTGGGCACGGGCATCGCCGCGCCGCGCGTCTTCGCGGTGGCGACGCGGCCCATCGCGGCCGGCGACGAGCTCCGCTACACCTACGGCGTCGAGTGGTGGCTGTCGCAGCTGCGCCGCGCGGCGCTGGCCCAGCTCGTGTCCTGCCGGCCGTCGGCCGCGCGCGCCGCGGCGCTCGCGGACGTGATCCGCTGCATCGAACAGACGTCCGCGGAGAAGCTCGACGCCCAGGCGCGCGCCGTCGGCCGCGCGGGGTCCATGCCGCGGGGCTTCGTCACGCCCATCGAGCCCCTGCCCCCGCTCGACGACCTCATCGCGGGCGAGGACAACTGGAAGAAGGCGCTCCTCATCGAGGAGTTCGCGACGGCGACGGAGTGCCCCGTCGAGGAGCTCTACGCGGAGACGTTCGCGCCCTCGCCCTAGCGAGCGCGCGCGCCGCACCCGCCCGGGCGGCCACCGTCCGGGGGTCTAATTAGTGATGTGGTATAGTCGAGGCGCCATGTTGAACTCCAACTTGCACTCGGTTGAAGGCTCCGGCGCCGGCGACGAGCTCTTCTTCAGCTGCAGGACGAGCGCCAGCGCGTGCACCAGCAGCACCAGCAGCACCGACAGCAAGGCACGAGCGAGTCCTTCTTCCACAGCGCCAGCGCCAGCACTACCGCCAGCAACAGCAGCATCCGACATGCGCGTGGGCATCATCGGCGGCGGCATCAGCGGCCTGGCCACGGCGCGGGGCCTGCTGAAGTACGGCATCGAGTGCGTCGTCTTCGACACCGGGAAGCGCGGCGTCGGCGGCCGCTGCAGCAGCCGCCTCGGCGGCGACGGCACGAACTTCCCCGGCGCCGTGGACCACGCGGCGCAGTTCGTCGAGGTGAGCGGCAACTGCGAGGCCTTTGGCGCGTTCGTCGACGACTGCGTGGAGGACGGCGTGCTAGCACCCTGGAGCGGCTACGAGGGCGGCGACGGCCGCCGGCTCTTCGTCGGGTCCGCCGCCGAGGGCATCGGCGCGCTGCCCGCCGCGCTCGCCGAGGGCGTCGACGTGCGCCAGGACGTCTGGGTGTCGCCGAACGGCGGCGTCCGCTTCGACCGCGAGTCGAAGCGATGGGTCGCGAACAAGGAACAGTTCGACGCCGTCGTTATCGCGCACAACGGCAAGTGCGCCGAGCGCATCACGTCGAAGATCCCGTCCGTGCCCGTGCGGAACTTGTGCAAGGCGGCCTTCGGCACGAAGCCGGCGAAGGGCCGTATGACGCTGAACAGCGTCTACTCGCTGGTCTTCGAGACGCGCAAGGGCGCGCTCGACGGCGCGCCCGTCGCCCAGAAATTCGGCGACGACGCCGTCCTCGCCTTCCTCGGCAACAACGGCCGGAAGCTCGGCTGGGCGACGGAGGACGACGCGACGGAGGTCTTCACGGCGCTGAGCACGGGCGAATACGGCAAGAAGAACAAGCACCCGCAGGAGCAGCTGAAGGGCACGGACGTCGAAACGCGCGTCACGCGCGAGCTCCTCGACGCCGTCGCCGACGCCTGCGGCGCGGAGCCCCTCGAGCCGCTGCGCGCGAAGCTCCAGCTCTGGGGCGCGGCCGTGCCCCTGAACCGGTGGGCGTCGGACGCGCCCTTCGCGTGGGACGGCGCGCACAAGATCGGCGTCGTCGGCGACTGGCTCTACGCCGACCTGCCGTCGTGCGTCGAGGCGGCCTTCGCGTCCGGCGACGGGCTGGCCGCGCACCTGCGCGACGCGCCGGGCGACGACCGGGGGCTACAGGGCTCGTTCGCGGCCGCGACGTCCGACTTCTCAACGCCCCGGCGCGGCGCCGCGGCGGCCGCCGCCGCGCCCTCGAAACCGTCGACGAAGACGCCGGAGCAGAAGCGCGTCGTCAAGCTCAAGAAGGCCCTCAAGCGCATCGGCCAGCTGCGCCTCGAGGACTACGCGACGCTGAAGACGGAGCAGCGCGTCAAGATCCACGGCGAGGCCGACGTGCTCGACGAGCTGCGGACGCTGGGCGTCGACGCCGACGCGCTCCGGCTGAAGCTCCAGCCGGGCCTGCCGACCCCCATGCCCCGGTCGCGCGCGTGGTCCAAGGAGCGCGACGACGCGCGCGAGAAGCAAAAGGCCGAGGACGCGCGCAACTACCGGCCGCCGGCGAAGCGCCGCGCGTAGGCGGGGCGTCGCTCCGGGCGTTATGGGGGCGGTTTGGGCCCTGGGGGGCGGTGGGGTTCGGTGGCTCGGGGCGCGAGGGGCGCGGGGGGCGATTTGGGAGGTTGGGAGACGTTCGCATTTACCCCCGGCGCGGCTGTGGAATTCACAGACAGCAGCATCGACGCGATATCCGACCGTGCCTCGACACTCGAGTCGCCGGGCTTGGGAAGTCGCATATAGTGTGCCGCGTGGTCACCCGCGAGCCACCCCGAAGGCCTCTTAGGCCACCCAGACGCGTGCTATCGCCTCCGGTGACACCCCTCGTGCCATCGGACGCGAAAACGCCGACCGAAACCAGCCAGGCGCGCCGAGAGCGCCCTGCGCATGCCTGCGGCGGTGAAGAACCAAAACACGGCGACCCGGAGCCGCCGCTCGAGCGCCGGCGCCGCCGAGGCGGCGCCGGAGGCGCCGAAGCGGTCGCGGGGCCGGCCGAAGAAGGGCGGCGCCGCGGCCGCGGCCGCGCCGCCGGGGCCCGAGCAGCTGCCGGGCACGGTGGCGACGTACGGCGTCGTGCGCCGCGCGACGGGCGCGACGGGCGGCGGCGCCAACGGTGGGGCCATCTACGGCGAGATCGGCGCGGCGTCCTTCCAGAAGGTCGTGGACCTGCTCAAGGAGCGCTGCGGCCTCGACGAGGACAGCTACTTCCTCGACGTCGGCTCCGGCCTCGGCAAGCCGAACCTGCACGTGGCCCAGGACCCGGGCGTCGCCGTGTCCGTGGGCGTCGAGTTCGACGAGACGCGCTGGCAGCTCGGCATGCACAACCTCAACTCCGTGCACCGCGCCGCGGACCGCGGCGGCGCGCACCACGGCGTCGTCGCTCCTCCGCGAGTCGCGTTCGCGCGGCGCGACGTCGACGACTGCGCGACGCTGGACCCCTTCAGCCACGTCTACGCCTTCGACGTCGGCTTCCCGCCCGAGCTCCTGTTGAGCCTCGGGCGCAAGTTCAACGCGTCGCGGTGCGGCCACTACGTGTCCTACCAGAACCCGCGGCGCTTCCTCGGCGACTACGGCTTCCACTGCGAGCTCGAGGACCAGCTCAGCGTGTCCATGCACGGCTCCTCCGAGTCCCACACGTGCTACGTCTACCGGCGCGCCGCCGCGCCGCCGGACGCGGAGCTCCCGCGGTCCGCGCGGAAGTGCCGCCGGTCCGCCGGGTCGTCGTCGCCCCGGGGCTCCTCCACCCCGTCCGTCGACCCCGTCTTCGCCGCCGCCGTCAAGGAGGCGCAATCCAGCGACAAGGCGCGGCGCGACGCCTGCGCGGAGGCGCTCGAGGCCGCGCTCGCGGCGCGGCCGAACCGCGACCGGTCGCCGCGCGAGGAGTGGCGGCCCGGCGCGGAGAACGAGTACAAGGGCTGCGGCTACGACATGTCGACCGTGCTCAAGTGCGGCCGCACGGACGCCCAGTTCGCCGCGTCCACGGAGGTCGAGCGCGTCTGCGGCCGCGACGCGTGGATCGCCCTCGTGCCCGAGATGGTCGCCGTCTGCTTCGAGGCCGCGAAACGCGCGTTGAAGAAGTCCGAGGTGCTTTTAGAACCGCCCCTCTCGGCGGACTACATCACGGAGCGCATCGTGCTGGCGCCCGCGGACCCCGTGGGCTTCGTCGCGCGCGAGCGGCACACGTCGAAGCGCATCCAGGGCTTCGCTTTACTCTGCGAGTTCTGCACCTTCTCCAAGTCGCTGCGGTGGGACTCGTCCCACCCGGCGGCCCTCGCGGGCACCTTCGAGCACGCGGACCTCGCGACGCGGCTCCAGGAGCGCTGCGCGCGGCGCCGCGCCGCGTGGCCGCCGCGGAACTCGTCGGCGGCCGACGTCGTCGCGGCCGCGGAGAAGGTCGCGCTCGCGTCCGCGGCGTCGCGGGACCTCCACGACGTCGACGACGACGGGTCCCTGGCGATGGCTTTGGAGGCCACGGGCTGCGAGCTCCGCGCGCCCGCGGACAAGGAGTACGGCGACCAGATCGGCGTCTGGCCCGGCCTGTGCGAGGTCGCGGTCCTCGGCGCGTTGGGCTGCGGCCGGCGGCTCCTGGATCTGGCCCTCAAGGACGTGGCGGCCCTGGGCCTCGGCGGCGACGCGCCGGCGTCCGGGGACCCGCGGCCCGTGACGCACGCCGTCCTCCACGCAACCAAAGAAGCCGTCGGCTTCTACGAGCGGTGCGGCTTCAGGCGCGTCGGCGCGATCAGCCGCTTCCGGGACCGGCCCGACGTGCCCCAGCTCGCCTACCGCCACTGGACGCGGCGCGTCGACGAGGTGTCCTACATGATGGCCGCGCCCCTCGACGTCGACGACGACGGCGCCGGCGCGGCCGCGCCGCCGGCGCCCAAGCCCGCGTCGCCGCGGTCCGACGTCGCGCGGCGCCGCGCGGCGCGCGCGCACAAGCGCCTCTCGAAGCGGCGCGCCATCGAGCTCGTCCACACGGCTCTGTACAGCGACGTGCAGGCGCCGGGCGGCGCGACGGCGTTCCGCGAGTGCCTCTTGCTCGCGCTCGGCTACGCGTCGGCCGCGGGCGCGGGGCACCGGCCCCTGGCCCTCGCCGTCGGCGCGGCGCTCAACGTCTTCCGCGCCGACATCCCGGACAAGACCATCGCCATCCTCCGCGCCAAGGCGCTGCCCGAGGCCGACGACGACGACGACAGCGACCTCGACGGCGACGGCGACGACGTCTACGACGTCCTGAGCAAGCCGGGGGGCTGCTACGGCCCGGGCCTCCCCGTCGAGGTCGCCCTCGGCCGCGCGAAGAAGCGCAAGCCCGTCACGCTGCGCCTCCGGTCCGACGAGGCGCTCGCCCGCGCGGCGTGCGACGCGGACACCAAGCTCCTCCGCGTCACCCTCGCCGGCGCCGTGCCCAAGAAGCTCAAGCTCCTCGACCGGCCCATGCTCGCCTACCTCGACGTGCCCTCGCCGAAGCGCAAGAAGCTCCTCAAGCGCGCCGCCGGCGGCTCCTAGGCGGGGGGAAGCGACGCCACCAAGTAAGGGCGACTCACGCACGCGCGCTCCGGGCGACCCTCAATCGCGCTCCGGGACGAGGGGGGACGCGCGACGCTCACTCGCGCTTCGGGAGCGTCGAGAACGCGTCGAGGTGCGCGCGCGTCATCGCGCAGGGCTGGAACGCCTCGAGGGCCGCGTAGGGCGCCGCGCCGCGGATGACCGTCTCCTTCGTCGCGACGTCGACCGCGCGCCACTCGACCGTGTGGTCCAGAAGCCCCGCGGGCTCGCAGACGACGAGGAAGCACTCGCCCGACTCGAAGCCGCACGTCTCCCGGAGCGCGTCGAGGTAGCCGTCGCCCTTGACCAGGAACCCCGTGCCGAGGCAGAAGCCGAAAATGTGGTTGACGAGCATCTCCTGGTTGAGCACGAGGCAGTCGCCGTGGCCGGCCCAGCCGCGGGCGGCCTTGAGCTGCTCGACCATGGGCACGACGGGCCGGTACGCGGGGAAGCACGTGAGGATGCCCGTGACGTAGTCCTCCATCTGTTCGCAGAGATGCGGGTTGCCGGACCCCCACAGCAGCTTCGCGTTCTCCGACAGGAGCACGGTGCCGTCGAGGACGTCGAGCTTCGCGAGCTTCGCCGCGGCGGCGCCGGCGACGACGTGCCAGGAGAAGCACCAGTTGCCCGCGTAGGGGCGGTAGGCCGTCAAAAAGGGCACGCGCCTCGGGAAGAGCTGGCCGTAGACGGGCACGAGGACGAGGACGACGAAGAGAAAACCCGCGAGCCGCGCGTCGAGGTCGAGGACCGCGCGCGCGTCGAAGGCCCGCTCCCGGAAGAGGAAGACGCAAAAGTAGACGCAGGCCACGTTCCATTCGTTCACGGACGCGAACGGCAGCATGGAGATGATGTAGGCGTGGAAGCCGAGCGCGAGGGGCACGCCGACGGCCGGCGCGAACATGGCCAGCGGCGCGAGGAGGAGCTCGGACGCGCGGCCGAACGCCGCGATGCGCCGCGCGAGCGCCGACGGCGACCGGTCCCGCGGCCCGTCGACGAAGAGGTCGCCGTAGCGCAGGACGCCGAGCGCGTCCGTCGCGCGCATCACGAGGCCGTTGGGCATCATGAACTGGTTCAAATAGTCGAACCAGGGCCCGCACTTGGACAGCCCCGCGAAGAACCAGAGCGCGGCCTGCACCAATTGGCAGCCGACGACCGCGTCGCCGCCGCCGAAGCAGCAGCAGACGAGCATGTAGCCGTAGTGCTCGCCGCGGGCCGCGCTGAACGTCACGAAGTCGAAGGGCGTCAGCACCGCCAGGGTCGCCGCGGGCGGCCAGAGCTCGGCGACGCCGACGCGGTCCGCGCGGAGCGCGCGCGCGAGGAGGACGACGAGCAGCGCGTAGCCCGCGCACTGCCAGCGCCGGCGCCGGTAGGCGACGCCGGGCAGCAGCGGCCGCGAGAACGTGCCGGGCTTGAGCAGGTTGTACCAGGTGACGACGGGCCACTTGAGGCGGAAGGCGAGCGGGCCCCAGGTGGCGTTCGCGCCGAGGAGGTCGCCGAGCATGTTGTAGAGCAGGAAGCGGACGAAGTTCTGCTCGCCGAGGAGCGGGCCCGCGTCGCGCGCGTAGCGCTCGAAGACGTAGACGTAGGCGGCGAGCTTGAGGCCTGCGGCGCGCGCGGGGCTCGCGGGCGGCGCGCGCGGCGCGCGGGCGCGGGGCGCGCGCCGACGGCGACGTAGGTGACCGCGGGCAGCGCGTTGCCGCAGCAGCCGCTGGCGGCCGAGAAGCCGTCGAGGTGCTCGCGGTAGGTCTGCCGCTCCCACTCGGCGCCCCAGGTCGGCGGCTCCGGCATGTGCAGGAAGCTCGGGCGGCTGCGGCGCACGGACGCGCACGACATGGCTGCGGGAGGCTGTGCGAGGCGCAAAGTCGGGCGCGGCGCGGCGCAGAGTGCACGACGCGCAGCTCTGGATCTCTGGCAAGGCACGCGACGCCCCAGCGAGCCCTTGAAAACTCTGAGACCGTGTTTCACTCGCCCTAGCTAGAGCTTAGCGGGCCGCGCAAAGCTTAGCAGACGCGAAGCTGCCCGATGGCCTCTCAGCGTCATCTCGGGCGCGCGGCGCCGCCAAAATGCAAAGATGCGCGACGACCCCACTGAGTTTATGCTGCGCAAGCGGGAGGTTCAGGCGCACGCGAAGACCCAGCATCTGGACGATTGCGTGGCGACTCAAACGAGTAGTTTAGGGGGCTGGAATGCGGCGCGTTCGTCTCCCCGGACCCATAAGGCTAGACTTTGAGCCATTGCAGCATCGGGGATCGTTTGCCGTCACCCCGGCACCATCTCGTTACAAGGATTCGGCCGTAGGGCTCGAAACCGGCGTCCATGCCGCATCCGATGCGGACGCGCGTGCGACGCGCGGCGGACCGCCGACGTCGATTCCGGCTCCTTGACGTCCCAGAGGCTGCCCTTCGGGCCAGAGACCGTCGGCGTCATCATGGTCCCAGCGATGGACTTGATCCTCTCTCGGAGCGTCCCCGGTGCGGCCGACACCGGGGGCGTCGTCATGGGCTGCCGAGATCGTGGTCCGAATCGACGCCGATGGCACGGGAAGACGGTTTTTCATCATCGTGGGGGGCGCCAAGGGGTGCCCGCACACGCGGACCCACGGCGGGCACCACGACGCCGCCGCCATGGCGCCCCACGGTCCTCGACATTCGGGCTGCTTCGGGGTCCACAAGCTTAGCACTGGGACCGAGTGCTAAGCTTCGATTGATCGGCAAAGCTCAAGTCGAGCTTAGCCGCCCGGCAAGTGAAACACGGTCTGAGAGTGCATCGTGCCGCAGTGGTGCAGGTAAAGCTTCGAATTGAATCAACTTACGACGTCGGCCTCGGCCCGGTAGACGCGGTCCGCGGCGCCGCCGGCGGGTTGCGTCGCCTCCGGGCCGTAGTACTTGTCCCAGAGCGCGAAGAGGTCGTCGGGCCCGACCTTGTGGCGCACCGCGAGGCCGGCGACGAGGTCCGCGTCCGGCGTCGCCGGTCCTAGGCGGCAGCCCGCGGCGCGGACGAACTTGCGGTCGCAGAGCGTGATGCCGTCTATGGGCGTCGGGTCCACGGCGCAGTCGCGGGCCAGGAGCCCCGCGAAGACGTCCTCGCGGGGCATGTCCCAGTGGTCGGTCGTCTTCGCGAGCATGCACGCGAGCGCGGCTTTCGAGACGACGTAGCCGCCGCCCTGGTTGTAGTCCGGGAAGTGGGGGTGGCGGAAGTGGCGCACGCCGTTGACGCCGTCGAGGGACAGCAGGTTGAGCCCGCCGTAGTACAAACTCGGGCGCGTCGCGAGCGGCGCCATGAGCGTCGGGAGCCGCACGAAAGAGTCGTCGTCCGTTTTGAGCGCGAAGGCCGCGCCGCAGTCGCGCGCGAGCCACAGAATCGCGGCCGTCTTCAGCGGCAGCGCCGACGACGCCTGCGTGTAGTGGTCCCGCAGCGCGACGAGGGCGAGGTCGCCGTGGGTTTCGTTCTCGCGCTCGAGCGCGTCGCCGTAGGGCAAGCCGAGCACGAAGACGTGCGCGTGGTCGCCGCCGTACCTGAGCCACGTGGACCGCACGGCGCGCCGAGCGCCGGCGTTGTGCGCCGCCGTGAGGATGCCGACGAGGAGCTGCGCCGGCGGGAGGGCCGGGGCGACGACGGCGACGTCGCGGCCCTCGGCGTAGCGGATCGTCCGGCCCGCGGCCTCCGCCGCTTCGAGCCGCGCGCGCGTCGCCGCCGTCGTGTTGTCGTCGTGGCCCCCGTGGAAGGTCTTCTCGCACTCCTGGGCCGTGTGGTGGGCGACGCCGTCGGCCCAGTCGCCCAAGACGGTCACGCGGCACGTCGCGCGCGACATCTCGAACCGCGTCGACGCGAGGCCCTGGAGCTCCTTGCCCACGAGATAGATGGTCACGGCGCCGCCGTTGTCCCGGCCGCCGAGCGTGTCGTTGCCCACGGCGCGGGCGACGAGGGCGTCGCCGTCGGCGACGGACCGGCCGCCGGCCGAGAGCTGCGGGAGGCCCCGGATCCGCGCCAGGTAGCGCTCCGACGTCTCGTCGCTGAAGAGCAGGAGGAGCGGCGACCGCCGCAGCGTCGCCGCGCAGTCCAGGTAGGGCGCGACGTCGCGGTCCGGGTCCGTCGGGCACTCGTGGGCCGCGTCCGTGCGCCGGAGGTGGAGCGCGTCGAACGCGGCGCCCGCGAGCGTCGCGGCCCGCCGGACCAACGCCGCGACGCGCGGCGCCATGGCCATCTCGCAGAGGCCCCGCCGCGGCGCCAGGGGGAGCGTATAGCGCCGCCAGTCCGGCCGCCCCGTCCAGGGCACGCGCCGCCGCTTCGCCGCGTCGCTGAGCGCGTCGCGCCAGCCGTAGAACACGCCCGAGAACCGCCACGCGAAGGTCGTGCCGTTGGCGACGCAGGCCAGGGCGGCGTCGAGCGCGGCGACGGCCTCGGCGCCGCTCCGGCTCGCCAGCTGCACGGGCGCCGCCTTCGCCGCCGCCTCCAGCGCGTCCGCGTCGCCGCCGCCGCGCGCGATGACCGCGCCGCCCGCGCCGTCCTCGAGCGCGAAGAAGTCGGCCCAGTCCAGGCGGCAGCTCAGGCGCACGCCGTGGCGGCCGTTGAGGCTCACGCAGGGCTGCGGCGCCACGAGGCGCCCGCAGAGCTGCGCGGCGAGGTGGCCCATGGACCCGATGATCGTCTCGCGGTCGCTCATGCCGGCGGCCTTTTGGTTGCCGAGCAGGAGCACGTTGCCGCGGCCGCGCGCGCAGGCGGGGCACGGCGGCGCCACCCAGGCGTCGTGGACCGCCGCGGCGGCTGCGACGGCCGCGACGAGGCCGCAGCGGAGCATGAGCAGCCCCATTGCGGCCGCGGCCGATCAGGCCGACGGTGCTGAGATCGTGCTGCTTGAGTGCCGACGAGGTGGGAGTCGGACTGGTTGGTAGGTCATGCCGACCCGCGCGGCAAAAAAAAACGGCGGCGGCCGAAGGCCGCGAGCCGGGCACAGCGTGTCGTTTCGTAGCTGCAAACGGCATTTTTCTGCAAAATTTCCACCGCGCGATGCGCGCATCGCGCGCGCGGACGACGCCGCTCTTCTGCGATCTTTAGGCGCCGGGAGAGGGAACTCGTGTCAAATTTACGCCGCTACGTCTGGCCGTCGCTGGCAGTGAGAGTCATTTCGACGCTCCCTTGAGAGGACGAGCTCCAAAATTTTCCCTCGCGCTGCGCGCGATTCGCATGGAAAGCATGTGTTGAAGAGCGTGCCGCGTCGCGAGCGAGCGAGCTGATAATGTGTTTCGGCGCGGCGGCGACCCAGCCCTTCTCATTCCCGTGCCGTCGGTGGCCTAGCGAAGGCCGCGCATCCGAGAGGCGGCCGTGGACACGTGCGCGCGCGCGCGCCGCGAAGCTCCTCGTCCTGGACGCCTCGCCGTCGAGTCTGGGCCTCGTTGTCGGTGTTGTCGTCCTCGATCTTGGCGTGCGCTGCCGCCGGCGGCCGCGCTGCCGCCGGCGCGCGGAGTAGGGCTGCCCCTCGACGACGGCGCAGGGGCTCTGGGCAGCCCGTAGCAGCGCTGCCGGCGTTCACTGCAGCAGGCTGCAGAAGCCGATGGCTCGGCGGTGCCACATGTTCATGGGCAAGCTCGGATGCAGAGACCGCGGCAATCGAAGCAACGAGCGCGAGACGCTGCCGACGTAGGACCTGGTGATGGTCGAGCGCTTCGCAACCGAGCTACAGCCTTTGTTGCAGGGGGCAACCCTTCGAGCGATGACAGCCTTAGATTAATCAGCTCGAGCGCTGCCAGCCACGTTTTAATAGGCTGGGCCGTCGATGAAGATGCCGCCCTCGGCGCTTCTCAGCCACGTTTTAATTCCGGTCGGCATCATCGATCAACCGTCGGACTTGGCCTGAGCCTGGCCCGCGCGCGCGACGCCCCCGAGCGCCTCGACCGTCGCGACGCCTCCCCCGGCCGCGCTGCTGTGCGCCCACACAATCTGCAGCTCGCGCGCGACGCCGCGCGCATCGATGGCCGCTCCAGCAAAGAGACCGGCGCTGGGGCGCGAACTGCTCGGGCTCGCCCCCCTGCTCGAAGTCGCGCTGGCGCGCGTGCCGCTGGCGGACCACAGGAACCTGGGCGGGACGTGTCGGACGCTGCGGCGGCTCGTCTTCGGCGACGAGTTCGCGCGGATGCGAAAGACACTCGGCGCGACGGAGTACGGGCTAATCGTAGTGGGCTCCTCAATGTATTTTGATGAGGATGAAAATATCGGTACCGACGCTGCCTTGGTGTGTCCGACGCATGATCTTCGGAAGCTCGGCTTCAAAAAAAGTTGGCTGGAAAGGAGTCTCTACCTTTGGGAGTTCACGACGGCGTATTCCAGCGACGATCGGATTGTCATTTGCGGTGACACGCATAATGATTCATTGGATATCATGATTTATGATACGCGGACGCATTGGTGGGCGCAAGACCCGCCGGACGTGCAAGACCCGCATCTTCCGGCGGAGCTACCGGAGATCATGTACGGGCAATGCACCGCGTTCATCGATAATGTGCTCGTGGTCGCCGCTGGAGCTCACCCTACCGACGGTACATTTTCATGGGACGAGCAGTCTCAGATTTGGGAGCGGCTACCGTCGATGCCTTCTGCAGCTGCTCATTCCGGGTATTGCGTCATTGGGTCGCGTCTTTTTGTTGTGGGAGGCTATTGCGAAGACTTTACAAACTCCGACACTTACAAACCCTCGCCCGGAACGGTCAGTTGTACTCACACTACTCGGCTCCAAATTTACGACAACACGACGCGGTCTTGGTCCCTCGGTCCTCCTTTGACGGCACTCAAGGAGAGAGGCGAGAGGGTTTTGACTGCTGTTACGCACAATCGCTGCGTGTATGTCATTGCTCAAAAGGAAATCTCACCCATGCTTCCCTTGGCTACGTCTGTTCCCACCCATTGTTATGTTTACGATCCTCGAGCAGAGGTGTGGTCGGAGCTGGGCGCTCTCCCCGTGGGGGCAGCTCATATGTCCTTGGCGGCGTGTGTCCATGACGGACGTCTCGTCCTCGGTGGAAAGGAAGGCCCTGACCTCCAAGAAACGACGTTTTTGTATGAGTTGAATGAGAAGAGCGGAACTTGGCGGCGCAAGTCCATGCTCGTCGACAACGTCGAATTGTGGCCGCGGCTAGGTGTTGCGTCCCTCGTGTCGTTTCCCCTGCGGCTCCGGTCGCGATCCATCGATCCATGTGGTCGCTACTAAGCTAGCTGAGCACGGCAGCTCGGAAAGTAGAGGGGGTTCGAAAAAGACGTGGCGCACGATGCTCTGGGTAACCCCGGAGAATCTTGGCCAATTATGTATTATGTACAGGGTGCGATTTTCGGTATGTGCAAGGGGGGGAAATGTTCAGGGGTGTTCAGGGCGCGGCGTCGCGCTGGTCCGCGGCGGGCACGAGGGCCGGCGCGCGGTCGGAGCGCGCCGCTTTCCGCCCCTCGAAGGGCGCGGCGATCCAGCGGACGAGCGGCGGGATCTTCCGCGCGTCCTCGCCGGTCCGGAAGATGGTGCGGATCTCGTCGTTGGCGAGCGTGTGCTTCTCGAGCAGGGCGTCCGCGAGGCGGCGCACGGTCTCCTTGCGCTCGACGAGGGCCCGGTGCACGTTCCTCCGCTCGTTCTCGAGGAATTTCCGCGCGGCGTTGTCCTCGTCGACGGACGGCCCGGCCCGCGACCGCTTCGAGTCGGCGTCGAAGCCGAAGCGCGCCAGGGCCTTGGCGACGCCGAGCGCCTTGGTCACGTCGGACTCGGCCATGATGGACACGTGGTCGTCGCCGAGGAAGATGGCCTCGGCCTCGCGGCCGGCGAGCAGCACGCGGAGCCGCGCGAGGAGCGACGCGCGCGTGTGGGGCTCGTCCTTGGGCGCCTCCTTGGACGGCTTCAGCGTCACGTGGCCCGCGGAGCCGCCGGACCGCGGCACGATCGTCGCGGAGAGGTGCACGGACCGCTCGGCGACCTCGTCGATCAGCGCCGCGACCGCGTGGCCCGCCTCGTGGGCGGCGACGCGGCGCTGCACCGTCGGCGCGATGGCGAGGAACGTGTCCATGTCCATGGACTCGCCGTCGTGCTCGAGGACGTCGAGCGCGGCCTCGAGGTCCTCGCGCTCGACGGAGGCCGCGGACCGGCGCGCGGCCCGGAGCGACGCGTCGTTCATGAGCGCGGCCAGGTCCGCGCCGGAGCAGCCCGACGTCGCCGCGGCCATGCGCGGCAGGACCTCGTCCGCGCAGCCCGGCGCGAGCTTCGGGCCCCGGACGCCCCGGAGGATGGCCAGCCGCGCGTCCTCGTCGGGCAGGACGACGCGCACGTGGCGGTCGAAGCGGCCGGACCGGATCGCCGCGTCGTCGAGGGCGTCGATGCGGTTCGTCGCCGCGAGCACGACGACGGACTCGTCGCCCGTCGCGAAGCCGTCGAGCTCGCAGAGGAGCTGGTTCAGCGCCTGCTCGCGCTCCTCGTTGCCGCCGGCGCCCGGCGCGCCGGAGCTCCTCCGCTTCGCGAGGGCGTCGATCTCGTCGATGAAGACGACGGAGGGCGCGTGGGCCCGCGCCTCGGCGAAGAGCTCGCGGACGCGCTTCGCGCCGAGGCCGCTGTAGACCTCGACGAAGGAGCTGCCACTGGCGGAGAAGAACGTCGCGTTCGACTCGCGCGCGAGGGCCTTGGCGAGGAGCGTCTTGCCGCAGCCCGGCGGCCCGTGGAGGAGCACGCCCTTGGGCGGCGCCGCGCCGACGGCGGCGAAGCGCTCGCGGTCGCGCACGAAGTCCGCGACGTCGCGCAGCGCGGTCACGGCCTCCTTCTGGCCGCCGATGTCGTCGAAGCGCACGTCGCTCGACGACGTCGGGTCGACGCGGAAGCTCGACGACGACGTCGGCTTCGTCGACGCGGGGGCGGCGCCGTCCTTGCGCACGCGCAGCGTCTGCCAGGTCGCCTGCACGATGCCGAGGCCGATGGCGACGGTCTGGCGGTTCACGTGCTTCGTCCACGACGGCGCGCCCGACGATTGCTTCCTTGGTTTCTTCAGGGAGAGCGAGCGCCCGTGCGCGAGCGCTACCGCTGCGAAACACAGGATGCGACGCATGCTATTAGAAATCCAGTGGCGCGGCTACGGGCTACGTTTTCCAAACCTTCGGTGTCGTGGCAGCGCTTGCAACGCAGCAACAATTCGAACAGCAACGTCATCAAGTTGCTCCTTCAAGTTGCACTTCGTAAATCCGCCGTCCAGGCCCGCCGCCATCGAGTCCACCGTCTGGCTTAAGAGAGCATGTACAACCCGACGGCGCCGCCCATGGACACGAAGACGCCCGGCATGAACGCGATCGATGCGCACGCCAACGCCCCCTTGCCGGGAGCCCAAGTCATCCAGGGACAGGCCTACGTGCAGCAGCCCCAGGCCTATATGCAACAGCCCCCGGTCGTCCAGCAGTACGGCGGCGCGCCCATCCAGGGCGCTCCGGTCCCGGGCGCCGTCATCCAGGGCGCCGTCGTGCCGCCGCAGGCCCAGGTCCAGTACGTGCAGCAGCCCCAGATGGTCGCCCAGCCGCAAATGGTCCAGCCGCAGATGGTCCAGCCGCAGATGGTGCAGCCCACCATGGTCGTCCAGCAGCCGGTCCACCAGTGCTTCTTCGCCCTGGACCGGCATCCCGTCCGCATGGAGTGCCCGTTCTGCCGCGCGCAGATCACGACCGTGATGCACGAGGAAGCGGGGCCGTCGCTCGCGCAGTGGGCCGCGTGCTGCGGATTGTGCTGCATCGGCCTCTGGCCGTGCGCGTGCGTCCCCTTCTGCGTCAGCGAGCTCAGGGACGTGACGCACACGTGCCCCCAGTGTCAGCAGCGCGTCGGCAGGGTCAGCCAGATGAGCGGCAGCTACGACGCGCGCCGCGGGCAGCGCTAGTCCGCGGCTCGGACGATCGGGGGCCTTGTAAAATAAAAACCGGATTAAAGAGCGCCGCGCCCGAACCTAGGCGACGCACGTGTTGAACTGGCGCGCGCCGGCGGGCGCGTCGTCGAAGGTGCCCGTGAGCTGGGCCGCGGCGCCCGACGGGCTCGCGACGTAGAGGAAGTAGGCCGCGCCCTTCTTCCAGACCGTGTGGGGCGCGTCGAGGTCGACGGCGGCGAGGAAGGCCGCGTCGAGGGTCCGCGCCTCGGCGCCGCCGGCCGACAGGAGCCGCCGGCCAAAGTGCGTGTCCATGAGGCGGTCGAAGCCCGTGACGTCGTCGCAGGCCTCGCACTTGTCGACGAGGTCCAAATGCGTCTTGACCGCGTAGGTCTCGTAGGCCTCGACGGAGAGCGCGCGCTCGTCGGCGCTCAGGGCGTGCTCGACGGACTGCGCGCTGTTCGACGGCTCGACGTAGTGGAGCTCCACGGGCGACAGGTCCGACGTCCAGCTCAGCACGCGCGCGTCGACGCCGAAGGCCGACGACCCCGCGAGCGCGCCGCGGTCGTCGAAGCTCGCCGCCGGGTAGTTCGCCGACGTGGCGTCGCGGCTCAGCGGCGTCGCCTCGAGCACGCGCTCGGCCCACGCGGAGTCGCGCGCGGCGTCCGTCGAGCTGTAGGAGATCTTCACGGCCGTGAGCGACGGCTTGCCGCGCGCGTCGAGCGTCTCGACGTGCGTCGACGGCGGCAGGGCCGCGGCGACGCGGCGCCACGACGGCTGCGCGCGGCCGACGGCCTTGGACGTGGCCGCGTCCATCGCGGGGCCCATGAGCTCGAGGACGACCAGCGTGTCGGGCACGTGGACGACGAGCGAGTGGAACGGGGCGCCCTCGGCGCCCTTGGGCGCGTCCCGCGACGACCCCTCCCAGGCCAGGACCGCGAAGTCGTAGCCTGACGCCGTCAGCGCCCGGGCGTAGTAGCTCAGGTCCTCGGTGTAGAGGCCGACGACGTTCTCCGCGAGGGGCGGCAGCGCGTGCGTCGCGTAGCCCGACCCGCTCGGCGCGTCGGCGCGGGCGAGCGCGTCCGCGCCCGCGCGCGCGCGCGCGTCGAGCCGCCGCTGCGGCTCGAGCTTGCCGGCGAGCGGCTGGGCGGCCGCGCCGCTCGTCTCCGTCGCGCCCTTCGGTTGGAGCGCGAGGGGCTCCGACGGCGGGGCCTCGGCGGCGGATGTCTCCGTGGAGGGCTTCTTCGCCAGCGACTCGCCCTTGGGCTGCTCCAGCGACGATGCGAGCGGTTGGGCGGCGGTCTCCGTGTTCTCCGTCGTGCCCTTGGGCTGCAAAGCGAGGGGCTCCGACGGCGGGGCCTCGGCGGCGGAGGATTTCTCCGCGGAGGGCTTCTTCGCCAGCGACTCGGCGCCCTTGGGCTGCTCCAGCGACGATGACAGGGGCTGCGCGCTCGCCTCCGTATTCTCCGTCGTGCCCTTGGGCTGTAACGCCAGCGGCTCCGACGGCGGGGCCGCGTCGGCGGCGGGCTTCTTCGCCAAAGCCTCGGCGCCCTCGGGCTGCTCCAGCGACGATGACAGGGGCTGCGCGCTCGCCTCCGTATTCTCCGTCGTGCCCTTGGGCTGCAGCGCCAGGGGCTCCGACGGCGGCGCGGCCTGCTGCTTCTTGCCCGCGGACATGTCCTTGGTCTCCGGGGGCGCGGCCGCGGACTCCGGGAGCGCGGCCTGCTCCTGCGTCGCCTGGCCGTCGAAGCCCCAGCGCGAGATGGCGTTGGAGAACTTGGATTCGAGCTGGGCCATGGAGAGGGCGCCGCTCGAGCGCTTCCAGGCGCGGACCGCGTGCAACTGGAACGGCGCGTTGACGCCGTGGACGCCTGTCGTCGAGTCGTTGCCGACGAAGACCTTGCCGTAGGTCGCGCAGCCGCCGTCCACGGAATAGTTGCCGATCATCCAGGGGCTCGTCGGCAGCAGGTCGAGCCAGAAGGCGGCGACGCGCTCGGGGTCGCTCGCGGCCCACGTGTGCTTGCCCGTCTGGCTCGCGTCGCCGCCGCTGTGCGCGACGAGGTCGCTCCCCGCCGGGTGGTCCGCCGACGCGACGCCGTTCGACGCCGCGTTGAGGTCCAGCTCCTTCGTCGAGAAGCCCGGCCCGCGGTCCCCGGCCTTGGCCGCGTCCTTGGCCGCGCCCCGCGACAGCTCCTGCGCCGCGAGGTTCAGGCGCAGCGCCGCGGCGGCGGGCTCGTTCGCGCCGGGGTCGAGGCGCACGCCCGCGAGGGCGAAGACGGCCAGCGTCAGCGTGAAGCCGCCGACGACCGTGCGCACGGTGCGGGCCTCGTCGCGCACCATGCTGGCTGGCTGCCCTCACTGAATACGGCCCGTATCTTGGCACCGTCGGCCCGACTCCTTTTTGCGGACGCCCCGCGGGGGTATCGACGCGATGGCTGCCCCGACGGCTTTGGGGCTGCCTCGGAGTCGCAAAGCCGCGCCGCTCCTCGCGGGCGCGGCCCTCTTCTTGCTCGCGGCGGCGCCGACGCTGCGGCGGCGGGGCCTGGCGTCGCTCCGGTCCCTCGACGCGTCGCGCGTCACCGTCGAGGTCGTGTGCGTGAGCACGTGATCCGTCTGCCGGTCGCACTCCATCATCTTCAACGAGGAGGTGATGAGCGCGGCCGGCCTGCGCGGGATCATCGACCTGAGCCTGCACCCCATGTTCGTCGGCACGGGCTTCTACAGCGTCGAGGGATCGCTCGAGCCCAACTGCACGGCGACGAGCACGCTCTCGGGCTCGCCGGAGCAGGACTGCGAGATCGCCCAGTACTATCTCTGCGCCGAGTACGGCATCGATCTGCCGGCGTACGACTACCGATGGTGGGACTTCGTCGCCTGCATGTACCGCAACCAGACGACGCTCTCGGCGTCGGACGCGTCCCTGCCGCCGTTCCAGCACGTCGTCACGTCCTGCGCCGAGACCGCGGGCTTCGAGCCGTCCAAGGGCAAGATGTTGCACGAGTGCTACGAGCGCGACGGCGGCGCGCTGCTGCAGAAGGACCACGACAAGGTCACGCAGTACTACGAGGACGCGGTCTGGATCACGGTCGACGGCGTCTACGTCTCCGACAGCGACGCCTGGCTCACGGCCATCTGCGACGCCTACGACGGCGCGCCGCCCGCGGGCTGCGCGACGACGCCGGCCGCGAGGTAGAGGCGACGGGGGGAAGCCGGCCCATGACGGCGCCGCGCGTCCAGACGCGCGGCGCCCGACCGCCCCACGGCTCCCCCGGTAACAGCCCCTTACGGCGCCCCGGCGTGGAGCGCCGCCTCGCCCTCGAAGACGGGCGCGCCGCGGTACGTCGTCGCCTCGGGGTCCGCCATGCACATCTTCGCGCGCCGCGGCCACACGTCCGCGCAGCCCGTCGTCTGGACCGCCCTGCGGACGAAGTCCTCCTGCTCGCGCGCGTAGGGCCGGCACTCGACGCGCAGCTTGCGCGCGTCGCGCGAGTCGCACTCGGGCGTCCCGAAGGGCCCGCAGGGCTCCCGCGCGGCGGCCATGCCCGAGAAGAGCAGCTTGTCCGCGGCGTCGCGCGGCAGCACGCGCGCGAGGTCGCTGCCGCCGCCGCAGGACCGCGGCGCGTCGCCGACCATGCTCGTCGGGTAGGGCTGGCGGACGACGACGTCGGGCCGGGCCCAGGCGACGACGGCGTAGCGCCGGCCGCGCCGCGCCTCGAGGCGCCGGAGCTCGTCGCCGAGGATCGAGAGCAGCGCGTGCTGGCCGAGCGCGCGCTCGAGGTGCGAGTCGTTCGCGAGGTGGCCCGCGAACCTGCCCCGGCAGCCCACGGCTTGCAGCAGGCACGCGTCGTCGCAGGGCAGGCGGTCGACCAATTTCGCGCCGACGAACTTCTCGTACTTGGCCAGCGCGCCCCAGATCCTCGACGCGTTCGCCGGGCGATAGAGCTCGCGGTCGCCGCCGGCGGCGCGCTCGCCGACGAGGCTCGTCGCCGCGTCTTTCAATTTGAGATAGGCGTAGAGGTCGGCGTCGAGCGGTCGCAGCAGGTTGACGACCGTCGAGCCGAAGCAGCACAAGAAGGTGCGCGCCGCGCCGCCGAGGAGCACGATGGCGCCGTCGTCCGGTTGTGCGGCTGTCGCTGCTGCCTCGTCCGGTTGTGCGGCTGCTGTCGCGAGCGTTGCGACCAGCGCCAACGCCAGCGCCGTCGCAACGGCTCGCATCTATAGCGGGCAGCTCATGTGCCAGCGCTCACGAGATTGGGCAGCTCCATGCTCTTTGCTGTTTGCGTCTACTAATGTAGCCTAGGCTAGGCTAGGGAATCCGACCGGGGTCGCAATGGCTGCGCCGAACTTTCTCTCTCTAGCGCATTAGGCGATACACCCCGCCTACGCGCCTGCCTTGGGCGGACGCAGGCACTGGAACTTTTGACCGACGAGGCACGCACGCATTGAGTTCCGCTGCAGCGATGGAGCGCCTCCCGGATGAGCTCTCGGCGCGCGTCCTCTGCATGGTCGGAATCGAGCGCGAGCGTCGCGTCGCCTCGATGGCGTGCCGCGCCTTCACTTCTTTCGCCTCGCGTGGCCTGCTTGACTGCCGGCTCGTGCGGATTCGCGTGCGGACGGGCAACCTCGTCGACCGTATCAGATTAGAGTTCGACGACGGCGCGGTGCAAGACTTCGCCGGCGGGATTGGTGGTATTGAGCGGGAACCGTTCGATATCGCGCCCGGCGATGCGCTCGTGGGCATCCAGTGCCGCGCGGGCGACAACCTCGACGCGATTCAATTCCGCACGCGCCGCGGCCACCTCTCGCGGTTCTACGGCAACATACACGGCGGTAGATCCGTGCCGAATCTATATCGCCCCCACGGCATCCGCGGCCTCTACGTCAAAGCTCGCGCCTACGGGGATGATTACAACTGTTATTACAGCCAGACCATCCTCACACGCATCCTCAACGCATTCGAACGGCCAACGTCGTCATTGAAAATCTTCAGTCCTCGTTCGTTCTCAGGCTATCATGTCACTGGACTAGCTGGTCCCCTTCGTCGCAATTGGGAGCGCTTTCCACCTCTCGCCGCCGAATTCACAGAACGGGAACCCGAAGGAAGCCGCCGAACTCACAGAATGGGAACTCGAGGGAATCCGCGACGCTCCGTGGACGACGATTCCGACGACGAATCCGCCGTCCAATCCGACTGGTCCTCGGAGTCTGACTACTAGTCCGCAAGCCTACATACATGATGCCTAGTCCTAAGGTTAGGTCGCCCGGGCGACGGGGGTGTGGGGAGGTGTCGCGGCGTCGAAAGAGGGGGCGGGGGGGCCTCGCGTGCCTGGGCCGCGTCCGGCGGCGCGCCGGGGGCCGCCTAGACGTTGGGCGGGTTGAACGACATGGCGAACTTGTAGAGCTCGCAGCCGAGGAGGCAGGAGAGGGCGCCGCAGACGGCGATGCCCCAGCCGTAGGCCTGGATGCCGTCGTGGCCCGCGCGGGGCAGCGGGTGGAGGTCGAGGACGCCGCTGCTCAGGCCCGGGAGGAAGAGGCCGCAGTAGAGGCAGATCTGGCCGAGGAAGACGGCCTTGTTCATCGTCGGGTTCGAGAACATGTTGTTCCAGATGGGCTTCGTGAAGGACCGCGCGGAGTACGCGCGCAAATTCTCGGCCCAGACCAAGGCGATGAACGCGACGGTCCGCGCCTTGCGGATCGCGAACTTCGTGCACTCCTTGAGGTTGTCGTCGTCGGGGTCGTCGTACCACTTCTGGGACCCGAAGGCGCCGTCGCGGCCCCAGACGTCGCAGTGGTTGCGGTCGCCGTCCGTGATCTGGTCCTGGATGTACGTGCCCGCGTAGGCGCGGAGCGCGACGAGGTACGTCGCGGTGATGCCCGCGGTCATGATGAGGCCGTTGGCGACGATGCACCGCCACATCCAGGGCATGACGACGGGCTGCGTCTTCGGCCGCGGCGTCTTGTTCATGATGCCCGGCTCGCCCGGCTCGACGCCGAGCGCGATCGCCGGCGGCAGGTCCGTCACGAGCACGAGGAAGAGGATCTGGAGCGGCACGCGCATGATCGGCAGGCCCGACACGACGCAGAGGAAGATCTGGACGACCTCGGCGAAGTGGACGGACATGATGAAGGACACGAACTTCTGGATGCCCGAGTAGATGCCGCGGCCCTTCTCGACGGCCTTGACGATGGAGCAGAAGTTGTCGTCCGTGAGGATCATGTCCGACGCGCCCTTGGCGACCTCCGTGCCCTCGAGGCCCATGGACACGCCGATGTCCGCCTCCTTGAGCGCGGGCGCGTCGTTGACGCCGTCGCCCGTCATCGCCGACACGAGGCCCTGGCGCTGGAGCGACTTGACGATCTCGAGCTTGTCCTCGGGCTTGGCGCGCGCGAAGACGTTGACGCGCGCCGTGAGCGCGTCCATGTCCGGGTTCGACAGGTAGTCGTCGCCGGGCCGGAGGTCGTTGCAGTCGACCGCGCCCGTCTTGTCGAGCGAGCCGTCCTCGGGCAGGATGGCGATGTTCTTCGCGATGGCCGCCGCCGTCTTGAGGTAGTCGCCCGTGATCATGACCGTGCGGATGGACGCGTTCGCCGCGACCTCGATCGCGGCCTTGACGCCCGCGCGCTCCGGGTCGATGGACGCGACGAGCCCGACGAAGGTGATGTTCTTGACGATGGCGGCGAACTTGTCCTCGATCTCCGCGTCCTGGTCGTAGGGCAGCGACTCCAAAGGCTTGAGCGCGATCGCGAGCACGCGGAGCGCCATCGACGAGAGCTCGTCGACCTTGGCGAGGAGCGCGTCCTTGTCCTCCTCCGTGACGGGCGTCACGGAGCCGTCGGGCCGCAGGATCTTGTCGCAGCCCTTGAGGATGTAGTTCGGCGCGCCCTTGATGTGCGCGACGTAGTTCGCGTCGAGGCCGACGGCCTTCTCGACGCCCGCGAGCTCGCCGCACTCGTTCTTCGTGACCTTGATCATCATCTTGCGGCTCGACGAGAAGGGGATCTCCGTGACGAGGGGGAACTTGGGCTCGAGGTCCTTGGCCCAGAGGCCGCACTTGGCCGCGCAGACGACGATGGGCGCCTCGGACGAGTTGCCCTTGGGCGTCCACTTCTCCTCGCCGCCCTCGCTCTCCTTCGTCAACGTCGTCGACGAGCAGCAGAGCGCGGACGTCAGGAGCAGCTTGACCTTGGGGTCGTCCTTGCGGTCGTCGGCGCCGTCGAACGACATGTCGGCCGCGACGGCCGCGCCGGCCGCGCCGACGGAGCCCACGGTCGGGTCGAAGCCCTTGCCCGTGACGTCGTAGTCCGTCGACGCGACGAACATCTTCACGCAGCGCATCTTGCCCTCGGTCAGCGTGCCCGTCTTGTCCGTGCAGATGACGGACGCGGAGCCGAGCGTCTCGACGGCCGCGATCTTCCGCATGAGCACGTTCTCCTTGACCATCTCGGAGCAGCCCGTCGACAGGGAGATGGTCACCGTCAGCGGCAGGCCCTCGGGGATCGCCGCCACGGTCAGCGTCACGGAAATCAGGATCATGTAGAGCCAGCCCGGCGACGCGCCCGTCGGGTCCTTCACGCCGAGCGCGAGGCCCATGACGAAGACGAGGAGGCAGCAGCCGATGGCCAGCACGCCGATCTGCACGGAGAGCTTGCCCAGGCTCACCTGGAGCGGCGTCTGGTTCGCCGACGTGTCCGGCAGGCAGCCCTCCTGCTTCGCGCCGTCGCCCGCGAGCAGCGCCGCGATCTGGCCGACGCGCGTGCGCATGCCCGTGCGCACGACCATGGCCTTGCAGTTGCCCGCCTTGACCGTGCACGACGAGAAGATCATCGTGTCCGCCGTGAGCTTCTCCGCGGCGCCCGGCGCCTTCTTCTTCACCTTGTCGGTCTTCGACACGTCCTCGGACTCGCCCGTGAGCAGCATCTCGTTGACCTTGAGGTCCGCGGCGCTGAGCACGCGGCAGTCCGCGGGGACGACGTCGCCCGTGCCGAGGACGACGATGTCGCCGATGACGATGTGGCTCGAGTCGACCTCGACCTCCGCGCCGCCGCGGACGACCGTCGAGATGGGCGACGACAGCGCGCTCAGCGCGTCGAGGGCGCCGTTCGCCGACGCCTCCGTGGAAGCGGCGATGACGGCGTTGAGCATGACGATGATGAAGATGGCGATGGAGTCGACGTACGCGAGCGGGTTGCCGCGGCGGTCCTTGTTCGTCGCGTTGATGGCCGCGGAGACGACGCAGGCCCCGAGGAGGAGCGCGATGATGAACTGCGTGAGCTGGATGAGGAAGAGCATGAGGAAGGTCACCTTCGGCGGCGACTCGAGCACGTTCAGACCGTCCTCCGCGAGCTTGTCGGCCGCCGCGGTCGCGCTGAGGCCCGCCTTGAGGTCGCTCTTCATGTCGGCGGCGAGCAGGGGCAGCGGCACCTCGTGGACCTGGAGGTCGCTCATCTCCATGGTCTTGAAGGTCGTCAGCGTCTCCGTCTTGTGGCCCGCGAGCTTGACCGCGGCTTTGCCGTCGAAGCGGTGCCGGTGCCGCTCCTTGACGAGCTCCGGGTCCTCGGGCCCCTTGTCGACGATGAGCTCCGTCATCGTCGACACGACGGCCTCGAGCATGAAGGGCTTGGCGACGCCGTGGGGCTCGCTGAGCTGCTCCTCCGTGTAGTCCTTGACCACCTCCGGCTTCACCTTGATGTCGTGCATCTCGACCATCTTCTCCCCGGCCTCGAGGTCGCCCTTCTTCGACACGAGGAGCGTGTCCTCGTCCTCCGCCCCGAGGCAGCTCACGTCGCCGAGGCACGCCATGGCCATGGTGGACTGCCCGGCCGACGTATACAACAGGCTCCCTGCGGATTTGAGGCCACGAGTTTTTTCACTCCTGCGGATATTAATGTAAACGTGAAGTTTCTGGTCCGCCCGGCTGCCAGTTTGTCACGATGATCCGCTCCATACTCGCGGCGCTGTGGGCGCGACAGGCCTCGGGCGCGGCGTGGAAGTACTTCGACCCGGCGCTCGGCGCCGACAACTGCAGCGAGCCGGCGCTGCCCCTGTCCTGCGACTACGCCAGGTGGCCCGCGCCGTCCTGCGCCGGCGAGGCGCCGGCGTCGACCTGCGTCGCGCCCTGCCCCCTCTGCGCCGACCGCGCTCAGGAGATCCTGGAACGGTCCGAGGCCGTCGCGTCGAAGCTCATGGCCGCGGACCCCAAGGCGCACGCGCCGCCCGTGAGCGAGTGCCGGCCCTACGTGCAGACGTCCAAACACCACCGCGACTACGGCCAGATCACGCTGAACTTCCGCGCCGGCGGCGTGCTCGCCTGGGTCGCCACCGAGGCCGAGGGCACGGAGACGGGCGACATCCTCGAGATCGGCGCGAGCTCGGGCGTCGGGTCCACGCGGATCCTGTCCGAGTCGCTCCGCTGGGCGATCGAGGAGGGCCTCACGGCGAAAGGCCGCCGCCTCCACAGCCTCGAGTTCCGCCCCCACCTCGTGGCGTTGGGCCGGTCCATGGCCGCCGCCTGCGGCTGGCCCAGCGACACGCGCCTCGCGTCGGCCGTCGACGCCGCGTGCATGCCGACGTGCTCCGGGACGCGTCCAGCCGCGTGGCTCGCGAACGAGCGGTCGGGCGCGGCCATGCACGAGGTCGGCGTGCTCGGCGCGCTCTGCGCGACGCGGAAGTTCTCCGTGATCTTCGCCGACGGCGGCGCGTTCACGGGCGACGACGAGTGGCGCCAGATCAAGGCGTTCTGTGGTCACGTGAAGTGGATCGTCCTGGACGACACGCACGAGAAGACGCCCATGATCCTCGCCGAGGCCCACGCGAACCCGGACCGCTGGGAGGTTGTCTACGAGGAGAGCCTCTGCGACGCGTCGACGGCGCCGGGCCGCGGCGGCGCGCGGCGGCGCCTCGCGGACGAGGGCAACGGCACCGCGACGGGCCGGCGCCGCCTCGCGGTGCTGACGCAGCGCGAGCGCGCGCGCGCGAAGCGCACGCAGAAGCAGGGCCGGGCCATCCGCGTGAACCGGGGGAAAGCGTCGAAGAAGCCCCCGGCGCCGTCGGCGCCGAAGCAGATGGCGAAGAACCGCGGCAAGGCGGCCGCCGCGGACGCGGACGGGCCCCGGCGGACGACGTACCAGTGCGGCGGCAACACGCACAACGGCAAGTTCAACGGTCGCAGCGCGGCGAACGACGGGCCCCACGCGACGGCCCTGCTGAAACGCGCGGACCGGCGTCTTCGCGTGATTTTTTCGCCCCGGGGACCCGTCGTCGGTAGGCATCAACGGCGCGACGGGCGGCTACCACCGCCAGTTCGCGCTGATCCGGCACAAGTGGGCCTTCGGCGACCACTCGCCGGACGTGCCGCCCATGTCCATGCCGCCGCCGCCGCCGTCGAAGAAGGCGAAGATGATGCCGCCGCGGAAACGGCCGCCGCCGCCGCCGGTCAAGGACCCCGTCGGCGCCGCGCTGCCGGCCGCGTTCAGCCTCGCGCCCGCGGCGCCGCCGCCGCCGGAGCCCGCGGTCTCCGCCGAGGCCCTCGGCAAGCTCGAGGCGGCCCTCGCCATCCCGAGCCACGACGTCGCCAAGGAGGTCGAGACGCTCCCCGCCGCCGCGGCCGACGACGCCGCGGCCGACGAGCCCGCGCCCGAGGGCGTCCCGCGGGCCGCCCTCATCCCCGTCTTCGTCGCCCTCTTCTTCGCCGGCCGCGCCTTCGAACTGCGCCGCGCGCGGTAAATTTTGCGGACTTTAGGCTAAAGTTTAGCGGTACTGGGGAGGTGTTGTCGTGCGACGGGCGCTCGCCAAGGGCTCAGAGGCTAGGTCCGAGGCAAAAAGCGTCGAGCGACGCCGCACGCTGACAAGTGCGCACGATGCCCCCGCGACTCGAGGACCTCCCCGCCGCCGTCTGGAAGGAGAATCTGATGCCGTTCATGGAATTCTGGGAGGTCTACCCCGCCCTGGCCGCGAACAAGTCGCTCGTGGCGCTCCGATCTCTTGTTTCGGAGTTCGAGCTGAACAAGGCCGTCGCGGACTTGGAGGGCTTCACTTTAAGAGAGGGTATGCATGGGATCCCTACTCGCAGAGGCTTTGAACGGTACAAGGTCGTCGCGACGGCCACGGCGCCCCGTAATGTTGAAGCGTTGGTGATATTCGGCACGATGCTCGCCGAGGGCTGTTCACATCCCGACGTCGGCCGCGCGGCTTCTCCTGCTCTCGCGGCGCGCGCCCTTCATTTGGCGCTGGCCTACGAAACGTCGGACGACTTCCCTTGTCACGTCTTCTCGGACGCGACCGCGGCGTGCGACCACGCGCGGTACCGGCTCGCGCTCCTTCACCGCGACGGCCTCGGAGTGGTCCAGTCGTGCGCGATCGCCCGCGGTTACCTCGAGACTGTGATCGAGCGCGCGCCCCCTTTCCACGGGGAGAGCAAGTGCCTTCAAGTGCACATGAGGATTCCGTTTGCCATGCGCGCGCTCGGGGAACTCGTGCGGTACTCTGACGACGTGACGCCGGCCGCCGCGCGCCGTGCGCTCGAGCTCGTGGAGCGAGCCACTGATGCGGAGCATCGACGACCAATTGACGACTGTATCCACGGTTGGTACGCAATAGGACTTTGTCACGCGGCCCTTGCCGCCGCGGGCGAAGATGAAGACGGCAATCACGCGAGGGAAGCGGCCATCCACTTCCACTCTTCGTGCGAGTCAGGTAGAACTCATCTTAATCGCCTCCGCACCGACGGGCCTGCCGCCTACGAGCTCGGTCGGCTCTTTGAGCAAGGCATCGGAGTCCCCCAGTCCCGAGATGGGGCCTTGCTGCTGTTTCAGGTGGCCGCCAACAGCGGCGAAGACTACTTTTATCGCCCGATGCGCAGCCTCTCCGCGCGACTCGCAGACAACGACGCCTGGATGTCCCAATCGCGACGGAGCATTGAAACTATTGCGAGGTATCACGAGATGCTGTCTGATGCCCTCCGTCTATCCTATGAGGCCGAATACGAATACGGCGATGGAGGCGTAGAGTTTGGCCCGAGCGATCTGGCAGAAGTTCGCGCGCTTGATGGTGACACGGGCGGCGCCGCGTCTTGCATCGTCGCCATGTTCTTCAGTGAGGAAGATTGGACGCCCTAAAGTAACACTTCGTGTGTCGAGTCCATAGTCGAGGCTCGACGCGGTCGCCGATCTCGTGCCGATCTGGTGGCGGCGACTCCTGCGAGGCCCCGCGAACGACGGCGTCGGTCGCCGCCGAAACCTCCCGAAATAAAACCCAAAACCTTACCCGGAGCCGCTCCGCGTGGCCCGGGGCACCTTGCAGTGCTTGATCTGGAACGCGGTGAGCGCGACGGCGAAGGCCTGGAGCGGGTTGATGGGGTAGCGGAAGTCGAGGGCGAAGGTCTTCGCCGCGAGCTTGCCGAGCTGGAAGGCGGCGTTGTCCGCGTCCTCGCGCGCCGCGCCGTCGTTGAGGACGTCCTCGGTGTAGATGAGGAAGTTCTTCGACGACGACGTCCGCACGCGCTTCCGGCCGAAGTGGAGGCTCAGGCAGCCGAGCTGCTTGTTCCAGGTCGGGAGCTTGTTGCGGAGGCGCACGCGGCTCTCGCGCGGCGGCGGCGGCGGCCGGCGCCAGTCGTGCTTGTAGTGCGCGCCCGGGCTCTCGACGGCCGCGGGAAGGGCGACGTCGAGGCGCCGGAGCTCCGCGCCCTGCTCCGCGCACCAGATGGAGCTCGGCCGCACCTCGGCGAGGGGCTTCTCCGGCGCGATGGCGCTCGCCGCGGACACGAGGCGCAGCTCGAAGCACGGGCCCCGCGGCGTCTTTCGGTGCGCGAGGACCGCGACGACGTGGCGCATCGCGGCCGGCGCGCGGCCGCGCAGCCCGCGCTCGTCGACGGACGCGGGGAAGTCCTCGTAGGTGGACACGTAGTAGCAGTCGTCGACGAGCTTCGCGCAGAGGAGGAAGTCGCCGGCCTCGGAGCAGAGCTGGAACTCGGACTTGTGCGGCCGCGTGAGCTTGCAGAGCACCCAGTGGTGCGTCGCGTCGCGCTTCGCGTTGAAGCCCCGCGACGTCGGCGTCAGCAGGTCCTCGGAGATGAACTCGCGGCAGTCGCCGCTCTCGAGCGAGTCGTAGTCCTCGAAGACGGGCATGGCCACGGGCGGGACCATGGCGACCATCGCGGCGCCTCTGGGGGTGTTTGTGTGGGTTTGTCCGGCGCACCCAGGTCCCGGCGACGACGCGACGACGGCGGGTCCGCGCGCGCCTCGGCCCGCGTTCGGCGCAGCCCGTCTTCTGTCAGCCCCAGTCCGCTGTTTTGTACGCGTGATAAGCCGATATTTCGCATGCTTGCACTTACACTTGCACCTGCACGTCCGGCAGCTCTTCCTCCTCTCGGACCACGATCAAAGCTTGGGCTGCCGTCGTCGACGGCCTGCCCCCCCCCCCATTTCCTTCCGGGACTTGGGGTCTGTCAGTACTGGTGCGCGCGCCGCGTCCCGCGCGCCGCGCGCTGCCCCGGACCCGCGCGGCCCCATTTTTTTCCGCGCCGCGCGCGCCCAGCCCGCCCGCTCGCCGGCGCTCACGTGGCCGTTTGTCGCCGTAGGGTGTCGCCTCCAAGCGCCTCTGGAAGCCGTGTTGTTACTACGTCTCCAGAACCCCAGTACTTTCAAAACTGCTTCGCAGTAAGAAAAGGTCCGAACCGGCCGACTAGCAGACTAGCGCACGTTCTTCGACCATGGCGTCATTCGGCTCCGCGGTCGGTTCCCCTTTGAAATTCCTGGTGGCCCTCGCGGCCACCGTGCTCCCGGGCGCGGCGGACCTCCAGGTCCCCTCCGCGCCCACGGACGCTCTGTTGGAGGTTGTCTCCGGCGACTCGCTCGCGCTCGCGTGGGCCTCGCCGATGACGGACGGCGGCGCCGCCGTCCAGTCGTATCAAGTAGAATGGGACACGAACCCCGGCAGAGCAGAGGTCCAGACCGTGACGACGTCGACCTACATCGGCGCCAACGAGCTGCAGACCATCTCCACGTCCGCGCGCGGCGTCCTTTGTCGCGAGGCGCGCGCTCCGGGACCGCGCGCGCGCCTTTCAGGTCCGCGGCGGACATCGACGAGATCCAGAACGTGACGACCGTCGCGAGCCCGATCCGCGAGGTCCAGACCGTGACGGCGACGGCGCCCGTCGGCGGCACGCTCGCGGGCACCTTCGCGCTCGCGCTCGACACGCGCGTCACCGGCGGCTCGCTGCAGTACACGGGCGCGATCCCCGCGGACGCGGCGACGTGCTGCGGGCGCACGTCGATGACGGCCATGGTCGAGGCCCTGTCGAACGTCGGCAGCGGCAACGTCTACAACGTGAGCCGCGAGGCCGTCGACGTCGACGGCGGCGTCGGCTGGCGATGGCGCGTCACCTTCGACCGGTCGCTCGCGGACGTGCCGCAGCTCCAGCTGCTGGACGCGTCCGCGCTGACGCTCGGGTCGTCCATCGCGCTCGGCACGGCCGTCGAGGGCAACGCCATCTCCGGCGCCTTCCGCTTGTCCTTCAACGGCGACACGACGGCGCTGATCCCGTCGGACGCGACCGCGGGCGAGCTCGAGGACGCGTTGGAGCTCCTGGACACGATCACGGACGTCACGGTCATCCGCGGCGACGAGGCGGCCTTTGGCGGCTTCACCTGGTGGGTCACCTTCGTCCACGACGACAACGCGGGCGACGTGCCCCTGCTCGAGCCCGTCTGGAGCGGCACGCTCCTCGGCACGTCCGGCGATCCGTGGGTCAACGTCACCGAGCACGTGCCGGGCAACGAGCTCTCGGGGTCCTTCAACATCTCCTTCAACGGCAACGCCGAGAGCGCCAAGGTGCCCTTCGACGCGACCGTGTCGGAGCTCGCGAACGCGCTCCAGTCGCTGCCGCAGATCCCCGACGGGACGGTGGCGGTCACCCGTACCGGCCCGGACTTCGAGCTCGGCTACGTCTGGACCGTGTCCTTCCTCGACGACGTCAACCGCACCTTCGAGGGCGACGTGTCGCCCCTCACCGTGTCGTCGTCGACGTACCTCGGCGGCCAGAACGCGCAGGTCGACGTCGCGGAGCTCCGCAAGGGCACCGTCAAGGAGATCCAGCGCCTCAACGTCACGCGGACGTCGAACAAGGACGACGCCTTCTACCTCACCTTCCGCGGCGAGACGACGGGCGCCATCTACGCGTCGCCGGACAAGCTCGACAAGTCCTGCGGCTCCGCGGAGTACGAGGTCCAGCAGGTCCGCGTCGCCACCCAGGACACGACGTCCGCGGGCGGCGACGGCACCGTGTCGCCCCGGACGACCTTCCGCCTGAGCTACGGCTCGGAGACGACGGACTACATCTACGCCAACGACGGCACGGGCGACTGCTCCGTCGCCGCCGGCGAGATCGAGACGGAGCTCGAGAAGTTCGACGCGTTCTACCAGGTCGACGTGTCCTCCTCGGTGCGGAATTCCCGACTTCAAAGGCTCCGATCTCGGTCGTTTCGGCTGATTCTTGGACGAGCCATCATCTCTCGGAACGGTCTCTGGAACGCGCGCGCGCGGAACGCTCGCGTTGAAGCGACGTTGAATCGTCCTTTTCAGGTCCTACTCGGCGACGGTCGCGGCGCAGGAGTGCTGGTGGAACGTCACCTTCTCGTCGTCGCCGGGCAACGTCGCCGCGCTCACCGTCTCCGCGTCGCGCGAGGGCGTCGGCGCCGAGGACGGGCCGGCGAGCTCCGCGTCCATCGGCGACGACACGCTCTACGTCCGCGAACTCGTCTCGGGCAAGACGGACCTCGTCCAGTCGGAGCTCGAGGGCCTCTCGACGATCGGGCGCGTCACCGTCGACTCGCGGCCCGACCCCATCAACGCGCTGACCTGCCTCTACACGATCACCTTCGACACGAACGCGGGCTACCTGCCCCTCATCGGCGTCGCGACGTCCGGCACCGACGAGACGGGCGAGTGGCCCTGGGCGGACACGAACACGACGGTGAACGTGACGCGCATCCGCAGCTCGACGTCCGAGGCGCTCAGCGGCGACTTCGCGCTGGAGTTCCGCGGCCAGCGCACGGGCTACCTGACCTACGACTCGTCGTCGTACGACGTCGAGGCCGCGCTCGAGTCGCTGTCGACGATCGGCTCCGTGGCGGTGAACCGCACGGCGGCGGACGAGAACGGCGGCCACACCTGGAGCATCACCTTTCTCTCCGAGCTCGGCGACGTGCCCATGCTCATCGCCGACGACCTCGACATGTCCGGCACCGCGGTGACCGCGACGACGTACCTCGTCACGCAGGGCGTCTTCCCGCCGTTCAACTCCCTCGACGAGGCCAACGGCCTGCCCCTGGGGTCGGCGGCGGTGACGGACCTGGCGGACCTGCAGCTCGAAGTCTCGGGCCTCGAGCGCAACATCCCCTACTACTTCCGCGTCTTCGCCGTCAACGCAATCGGCCAGGGGCCGGCGTCCCTCACGACGCCGCCCTACGCCATCCCCGTGCCGGCGAAGCCGTCGGAGCCGACGGACGTCGCCCTGAGCGTGCTCGACTCGACGTCGCTGCGCGTCGTCCTCGCGGACCCGCTCCGCGACGGCGGCGACTCCGTCGACTCGTACCGCGTCGAATACGCGGGCGAGGCCTTCACCGACGAGGTCCAGGCCGTGCGCATCTACGTGAATTCGACGACGGAGGTCCAGGTCATCGAGACGAACGTCACCGAAAAGCCCGAGATCCAGTTGGTCCATGCTTTGCTCGATCCGAGCTACGCGGGCGCGACGACCGTCGAGTGGCAGCTCCTCGAGTGCGACGCGTCGGGCGGCTCCTTCACTTTGACCTTCGACGGCCTCACGACGCGCTCCATCGCCTACGACGCCGACGAGGCGACGGTGAAATCGGCGCTCCAGGAGCTGACGAACGTCAACAAGGTCACCGTGGCCTTCGTCGGCGTCGGCCTCCTCTCGGACGGCGTCGTCGACACCGCGTGCGTCGACGGCGGCGACTCGCGCGTCGACTACGCCGACAGCGCCACGGGCTTCACGGCGGGCATGAACATCACCTTCAACTCCGTGTCGGACTACGTCGGCGACGTGCCGGCCCTCGAGCCCTACACGAACGAGCTCGACGGGTTGCGGCGCGTCGTCGTCACCGAGTTCGACGGCGACTGGGGCCTCGGCGGCACCTTCAAGCTCACCTTCCGCGGCGCGACGACGGACGCCATCGTCTACGACGCCAGCGCGTCGGCCGTCGAGAGCGCCCTCATCGCGCTCGACACGATCCAGCAGGGCGGCGTCGAGGTCTCGGCCGGGGCCGCGATTCAACGTTGACTTCAACTTTGTGTTTGGAATAGAGAGAAAACCGCTTGAGAAAATCGCCGAAACCGACGGCGATGGAAAAATTACCTCTGCGTCTCCAGGTCTCGGACGTGTCCGCGTCCATGTCGACGCCGTACGACAGCAACGAGCACCTCTGGGAGGTGACCTTCGTCGGGAGCGGCGTCGGCGGCGACGTCGAGGCGCTCCAGATCCGCGCGGACGACGACCTGCTCACGGGCTCCGGCGCGCGGCTCCGCGTCTACGCGGACGGCTCCGAGAAGTCGTCCGACATCCGGAGCTCCGCGACGGCCGAGTCCCGCGCGGGCAGCGAGCTCGGCGGCTCCTTCACGCTGACGTGCGCGCGCGGCGTCCCTTGTTCTTCGCGGCACTTCAAGGCGGCTCGTCCGCTTTTTTTCTTCGCGGCACTTCAACGAAGATCCAAGGCGGCTCGTCCGGGGGAGTTTCGCCGCCGGAGCGGCGTGGCTCCGATTCTGAGCGCAGTGGCTCCGATCCTTCGGTCGAACCCCCTTCTTCGAACCCCCCTCGCGCCGTGAGATACGACTCCGGCGGCGAAACGCCCCCGGACGAGCCCGAAACCCCGCTCTTCCATAGGCTTCGCCAGCACACCACCGAGCCCATCGAGTTCAACGCGGCCGCGTCGACGATGAAGGCGCGCCTCGAGGCCCTGCCGAACGTCGGGAACGTGGACGTCCTCCGCTCGGCTCCGGGCAGCCGGCGCGAATACGCGTGGACCGTCTCCTTCGTGTCGAATCCGGGCTACTTCCCGCCGAACTCGCGGAACCTAGCGCTGTTGGTCCCCGACACGTCGGACCTCGAGGGCACGGGCGCCAGCTGCGAGGTCAAGGAGCGGCTGCAGGGCAGCGAACCGCTCAAGGGCGCGTTCCAGCTCATGTTCTGCAACAGCACGTACGCGGACGGCTACGCCGACGCGTGCGAGTACACGGATCTGCTCGAGAACGACCTCGAGGCGCCCCAGTTCGAGGCGATCCTCGAGGACCTGGACCACGTCGGCGACGTCGACGTCTCCCGCGTCACGAACAGCGACGGCTACACCTGGTACATCACTTTCGGGGGCTGCTCGCTCACGGAGGACCTCGAGGACGTCTGCAACGAGGGCGACGTGGCGCTCATGAAATGGCTCGAGTCGAACTCTACCTTAACGGGCGGATCGTCGGCGCCAAATGTAACCATCGAGGAGGTCGTGCGCGGCACCGGCCCTGGCACGTGCTCGGATCGCGTCGACGAAGACGGCAAGTGCGTCGCCGTCGAGACGGATTTGAGCGGCGGCGAGCCCTACGCCTACGACATCCTCGGCTTGGAGACGGGCGAGCGCGTCTACGTCCGCGCGCGCTGGCACAACGAGCTCGGCTTCGGGCCGTACTCGCTCAGCGAGCCTGAGTACGAGACTCCGACGTCGGCCCAGCGCCCGGAGAAACTACTTCAACACCCGGGGCCGCGCCGCGACGCCCCACCGCTTCTCTGGCGCCGGAGAGGTGCTACGTCCACTCCACCGCCGAGGGGCTGGCTTGCAAAAGATCCTCGGCAGGACAACATGCCATTCGGAAGCCCCCGAGACCGGTGCTACTTCAACGCGGGGCCGCGCCGCGGAGGTCTTCTCGGGCGACGCGGTTCCGTCCGGGGCCGCGGGGGTTCTCCCAGCGCCCCGGCCGCGCGACGAACGAGCGGAAAGGCTTCGTGCGACGAACGAACGGAGGGCCTTGGGGCGGTACCGATAGGCGAGCACCGGGACGCGTCCCAAAGCCCCTAGTGCCCCCTCGGCGATCCGCTCGAGAGCCGCACGGAGCCCTCGGCGAGAGGCCAAGCTTCCGCTCGTCGTCCCGGGGCACCGTGCGACGACGCGCTCCCGCAGGTGGAACGCGCCCGGCGCCCCCCCCGCGGTTCGGCTCTTGAACTCGTCCGCCGTGAGCGTGGCCGTCGCGTGGGACCGCCCCACCGAGGACGGCGGCGCGCCCGTGATGGGCTACGAGCTCTGGCTCGACAACTGGGAGGGTGGCGCGTCGCGCATCGTCTTCGACGGGAGCGATCAGCCGGACACCATGGCCTTCACGGTGCGGACCAAGACGAGCGTCGGGGTCGAGAGTGGCAAACAGTACCGATCAGTGTCTACGTAGCCTCGTCCGGAGCCTACGAACCTATGACCTACGCGCCCACGCAGGTATCGCTTTCTTGTGCGAGCTGTCAATTATTGCTCGTCGCGCGACACGGACCTGCTCTGCTACGGCGAATTCAGCCCGGTCTCGGTCTTCACCGTGCGCGCTCCGCGCGCTCCGCTCGCTCCGATGGCGCCGCGCCAAGGATCGACGGGCGGCATCGGGACGGTGGCCCCCGGCGACGCGTCCATCGCGGTGCACTGGGATGCGCCGGTCGATAACGGGGGCAGCAACATCACGAGCTACCAGCGCGTATCCGGCGTCGAGTCTTTAATCGCGCGCGCGCGCGGGGCGGGTTCGGTGGGGAATTGGGGTGTGCGGGACCTCGGCGCGCGCGGCCTCGGCGCGCGCGGCCTCGGCGCGCGCGGCCTCGGCGCGCGCGGCCTCGGCGCGCGCGGCCTCGGCGTGCGGGACCTCGGCGCGCGCCGCGGTGCTTCTTCTTCGTGCTCATGGCGCCGGGCGTCTACTCGAACATGTTCTCGTACTCCGCGTAGTCCTTCTTGAGCTGCGCGTTCTCCTTCTTGAGCTTCTCGTTCTCGGCCGTGAGCTCGGCGATCTCCTGCTCGAGGTCGTCGGCCTTGGCCGCCTGCTTCTTGAGGTCCTCGAGCTTCTTCTTGCAGTCGGCGCGGTGGGCCTCGCGCTTGACGATCTCGACCTCGTCGTCGTCGGCGGCCTCGGCCTCGGCGGCCTCCTCGGCCTCGACGGCCTTCTTGGCCTTCTTGCGCCGCGGCGGCGACGTGCCGCCCGTGTCCTTGGCCTTGGCCTTGGGCGGCGTCTTGGGCACGGGCCGCTTCTTGCCCTGGGACGCGGGCGTGTCGCGCTGCTGCGACTGCGACGGCACGGACTCCTGCGACGGCGCGGAGGAATAGGGCGTCTCGCCGGGCGGGTACTGGGCCTCCGGCCCGAAGGTGGCCTCGCTCTGGCTCGCCTGGCTGGGCAGCATCGTTTGCGAGTCCTCGAGCTGCGACCCGGGCACCGTGGCCATGTCGCCGATGGACGACCGGAGCGTCTCGACGACCGCGGGCATGGGGATGCGCTTGTTGCCGGCCGTGTGCGTCGGGAGCGCGTCGATCGCCCGCAGCACGTCGGCGGCGTCGCACTTGCGCTCGTACTTGTCCTCGCCGATGGACTCGAGCTTCAGCGCGACGAGGAGCGTGCCGACGATCTCGCCGCGGACGTCGGGCGACGACGTCGGGGACGCCGTGAGCGCATTCCCGGCCGTGTCGCGCAGCGAGTGGCGGGCGCGCTCGTCGCACGCCGCGAAGTCCATGGTCTTGAGGTAGAGCTGCGTCATGAGCTGATTGACTTGCTTCCAATTCTGCGGACGGACGCTTCGTCGGCGGACGATCGGGCGCGCGCGACGCGGGGGAGGGGCGGGAGAAGCGGACGCACCGGTTTCTTGTTCTCGAAGATGGGGCAGAGGCATTGGAGCAGGTGCGAGCAGGCCGCGAACGCGGTCTTGCGCGACGCCATGAACTTGCCGAAATTGTGAGTGCCCTCATGGAGTTCGAGCCACAACTCTAGCTGCGCGGCAGACAGCGCCCCCTCTTTGGCGGTAGACGACGACTGCGACATGACGAGGCGGCGAGGCGCCCGGGGCTTGACGCGGCGACGCAGCGGCGGGGCGGCGAGTACTTGCTCAAGTCCTGAGGCAAAGGGGAGAGAGAGAGAAAAATCGCCACAAGCTCCTGAGGGCGAGAGCTTTTGAGGTGCGAGACATCGCCGGCGACTCCCGCTGCTTCGCACACTTTGAGGGCGTGTCGAGCGGCCGTTTGCACGTCTGCTCGCCCATCCACGCCCCCTCAAGGGCGCTGCACACGCGGCGGTCAAGGTGGAAAAAGTCGATCAGATTTCGGTGCACGAGCGAGGCCGGGGCGGCGGCGCGGCGCTGGGCGCGACGAGCGACATCATGAGCAGCGACGAGGACTCGTACGGGTCCCGGAGCGACCGCTCCGAGTCGCCGGGGCGAGGCTCGCGGCGCGGCGCGAGCGGCGACGACGGCGGTCGGGGGCGGCGTCCGAGCAGCTCTCCTGGGTCCGCTCAAAATCGCGCGCGCGACGACGCGGCGCCGCTCTGGGGCCGCGGGGTGGTCCGCGGCGTCGCCGCGGACGGTTTAGCGCGCGGGCGGGCGCGTTCAGCCGGCTCGGCCGCGGCGGCGGCGTCGACGCCGGGCGACGGGCGACGGCGCGCGGTGAACCTGGTCACGCCGGCCACGCGAGCGGGCGCCGACCGCGCGCGATGGTGGAATGACGCCGACATGAACTGCCAGAACGACGGCGAGGCCGAGGTCGCCGTGGTTTCGGGCGGCGCGACGCCCGCGGCGCCGGTGCGAACGACGGACCCGCGGGTGGTCGTCAAGCTGCGGCTGGGGTGCGGGAACTGGGGCATGGGCGTGCCCGACGACCCGTCCGAGGGCGAGGCGGTGCGCGGCGCGCGGCGCGCGCGCGACCTCGACCTCGGCGACGAGCCGCGCTCCAAGCCGGCGGCGCTCGGCGCCGCGGACCGGCGACTGATCGCCAAGCTCCGGCCGGGGTGCGAGGGCTGGGGCATGGGCGTGCCCTACGACCCGTCGAAGGCCTCCGAGGACGAGACGAGCGCGCCGCGGCCCCGCGACGGCAACGGCGACGTCGTCATGGACGACGCGGGCGACTCCGGCGACGCGGGCGACTCCGGCGTCGGCGCGAACGGCTTCCGGGACGTCTTCATGGGCGACGCGGGCGACGCGGGCGTCGGCGCGAACGGCTTCGGCGACGAGGACTTCGGCGGCGGCTTCGACGCCGACGACGAGCGCGAGGGCGACGGCCACGGCCACGGCGACGGCCACGGTCGGGCCCCCGCGGCCCCGTCGCCGCTGCCGCACGAGCGGCGCTACGCCGCGGCCGCGGCGCTGGAGCGCAGCTCCGGTTCCGGCCGCGGCGGCGAGGCCCAGGCCGCGCCGCCGCCGGCGGGCCTCGGGCGCGTCGGCGGCGCAGGGACTCGTCTCTGGTTCGCGGTGCCCGCGGACGGCGAGCTCGACGAGCCCGGCGCGCCCGTCGTCGTCGCGCTCCCGGGCATGGGGAAAGTCAAGGTCCTCGTGCCCCCCGGGGCCCGCGAAGGCGACTGGGTCGCCTTCGCGGGCAACGTGGTACTTTCCCGGCGCACCGGCGCCGCGCCGTGTGCACATCAAATCTTCAACTCGACTTCAATGTGAGCGTATTCGAATGTTTCGACACAATCACATCCGCCGTGCTTCGAGAACTCGACGAGAGCAATCGATTCGTCCAAAAATCAGCCGACTCGACTTCGATTTGACCGAGCTGCTATGTTGTAAAGTTTGGTCGGGACGTCCCAAACCAGCGGTTGATTTCAACGCAGGCGGCGCGTCCGCCGCGCGGCCCGTGGCCGTCGGGTCGTTCGAATTCCATTCGTCCGGCCCGGCGGAGCTCGTGCTCGAGTCGCTCGGCGGCGCGGCGGCGGCCGGGCCGCCGAGCGACCAGGCCGCGACGCGCGTCGTCGGCTCTCGGGTCGGGGGCGTCGTCGCGTTCGCGGTGCCCGCGAGCCACGAGGTGGGGGCGCCGCTCCTCGTCGAGGCGCCGGGCACGCCGGCCTTCCGGCTGCGCGTGCCCGCGGGCGTCGTCGAGGGCGACGCGCTCCTCCTCGAGGGCAAGCTCGCGCTCACCAGCGCAGGAAAAGGGTGCGACGTTCCCAACTTCAAAGGCTCCGATCTCGGCCGCTTTCCACTCGTTTCGGCTGATTTTTGGACGAGCGATCATCCCTCGGGGCGCTCTCGAAGCGTGGATGCGTTTTCCGGAACGCGCGCGCGCGGAACACTCATTTCGAAGCGTGTCGAATCAGCCGTTTCCTGCCCAGGTCGCGTGGGCGGTGCCGCGCGACGGCGGCTTCGGCGGCTTCGGCGGCTTCGAGGACCCGGGCTCCGGCGGCTTCGCGGACCCGGGCTCCGGCGACGACTCCATCGGCGGCGACGGCGACGCGATCTGGGCGACGGACCGCCTCGCGGAGCTGGGGCTGGCGCTGAAGCTGCACGACGTCGCGCTGCGGCAGATGTTCGACATGAACGCGGACGAGGCCGACACGCGCGGGTTCGTCGAGACCGTCGTGCCCGCGGGCGACGCCCGGGAGAAGTTCCTCCAGAGCCTCTTCGAGCGCCGGCGCCAGCGCCGCGCCGTTCGGCGCGCCGCGGCCGCCGAGCTCCGGCGCCCCGAAGCCGCCTCGGCGAGCTTGCCCGCGACGCCCGTGGGCGTCGCGTCGCTGCTGCCCGCGCGCGACGGCGACCCGCCGGAGCTCGTCATCGACCTCTTCCCCGCGTGGGACGCGGACATGGAGTACGTGCCGCGCGGCCGCGACCTGGGCCTCGCGGACCGCGGCGTGGACCTCTCCGGCGAGCCCGGCGACTCGAGCGGGTCCAAGGCGTCGCCCGGCGCGGCGCTCCAGGTCGCGACGCTGGACGGCGGGTCCGGCGGCGAGGGCGACTTCGGCGAGGACCTGGGCTTCGCGGACCGCGGCGGCGGCTACGGCCGCGGCGGCTCCGGCCGCGGCGACGTCGGCGCGGACCCGGGCGGCCTCAGCGGCGGCTTCGGCGGCGGCTCCGGCGGCGGGACCCCGGGCCTCGTCGGCGGCGAGGCGCCTCGCGCCGCGGGGCACCCGCCCGAGTCCTCGCCGGGCGCTGACCTGAGCCGCGGCTCCGGCTTCGGCGGCGGCGTCGACGCGATGGACCTCTCCGGCGACTCGAGCGGGTCCGAGACCTACTTGAGCGGCGCCGGCGGCTTCGGCGGCGGCGGCCCGGGGCTTCACGAGCGCGGGGGCACGTCGGTGTTCAGCCGCACGCGGTCGCGGCGAAAGCCGGCCGCGGACCGCCGGCGCCGCGGCCCCGCCATGGCTTCCGCCGATGGTCCGTCGCTGGGTCCCGACCTGGGCGGCCTCAGCGATGGATCCGGCGGCGGCCCTGGGCATCGCGCGGGCGCTCGTGCTCTCGATGAGGCCGTGGATGATGCTCTCGATGGCACCGTGGCTTCGCGGACGCGCCTCGGCGAGGGGCGGCTGCGACGCTGCGACAACTACGTGGAGTCCGACGGCGACGGCTCCAGCGGCGAGGAGTTCTTCGTGGACAAGCGCACGCGCGGCGACGACGACGGCTCCGAGCCGGACGACGAGGCGTCGGGGATCCTCGCGGACCGCGGCGGCCGCGGCCGCGGCGTCTCCGGCTTCGGCTCCGGCGCGTCCTTCGCGTCCGGCCTCAAGGGCAAGAGCGTCACGAGCGCCGCGTCCGTCGAGCTCGACGAGGGCTCCGGCGACTCGCGGGACGGCGACGAGGACGGCGGCGGCGAGGAGGGCTCTCTGGATCTGTCTCCTCGCTCTTGGTTGAGTCGAGGCATGCTTACGATTGAAGCAAAACAGACTGCCGAGTACAGCCTCGACCCAAATGCGACTACGAACTGGGTCCTTGTCAAAGATTCATCGCGCAAGCAGACAACAACCACGGCTATTATGAGAAAGAACCGGATTTTGGTCCTCGTGCACCTCGAACGCGTGCCGCTGACGCTCGCGGAGCTCAACCGCAGAGCCGCGTTGCCCCCAATGCACAAAGACTTCATTAACCTGTTCGAACTACGGGAGTACTTGCGTGCTCTGAATCTGGAGCTCGACCACTCAACATCAAGAACGCGGACGCTCGATCGACTTCGCTCGTTCTTCGCGACCAAGCCTGACGGCTTCATGCTCATCTCTCGCATGCCAGTCGAAGACAATCTGATTGGTTTCGCCTTGGAGCAGTGCGAGTCCGCCGCGGAGCGCACCGCTGTGCTCAAGCTTGCCGTGGACCTGCGCGCGGATCCCACGACTGCCGTACCTGAAGCACCACCGGTCAGAGCGAATCAAATCGCCAGCAGCCAGGCCGTGACGAGGCCTTACTTCGTCTACCACGCCGGGTTATCGCAGCACTCGGAGCTCGGCGCCAAGCAGGCCAACGACGCGAAAGTCTTCGTGCACGTCGACAAGAACCCGCTTCGTCGCGAGGATCTCCTGGATGACCTGTTCCGAAGCAGCTACCTGGATAGCCGCGTCTTGAACGAATTCTGCCGCGCCGCGAACGCACCAATGTCGAACATACCGAAGGTCGCCGTCAAGGCGCTGGTGAAACACTTCGACGACAACCCGGGCTCCGTGATCGTGTCGACGCTGAACGTCGAGACGAAGCTCAAGCACTACGCCATGGAGATGAAGGAGCGCGCCGCCGATCGCGAGAAGGCGGAGAAGGCCGAGGCCGAGGAGAAGGCCGCCCGCGAGCAGGAGCGGGACGTGCGTCATCGTAGCGAGGTCGACATCGTCGCATGCGCGAGAGCAGGCGTGCCCTTCAAGAGCATCGCCGCCGAACTTGGGACCGGTGCCGAAGCATTGACGCCCGGCGACGTCGCCGACATCGTGCGCCGGCTGGCGCCGGAGTTCGATGGCGTCAAGGGCAGCCTCGGCGTCTTCGGCTCGGCGCGGGCGCTCGAGCCCACGGACCAGGAAATGTCGCTCAACTCCGAGGACCTGGCGCACGCGGAGCTCGCGCAGGCGCCCCAGGCCGCGGGCTGCGGCGTGAAGGCAACGCCTGGCTCGGCGGCCATCACGGAAGCTCAACGGGTGCGTGTTTCCTACAACGCAACCCACGTATTCCTCCGGAAATTAGTGAAAAAACTTCGAGCTCCCGGCGGCGGCCTCAAGCCTTCTATCAGGAAGAAAGCCGCCCGCGACGACAAAGCTGGCGTCGGTGTGCGGATGCAGATCCTCGCGTTCCTCGAGATCGCCATCGGGATCCGACGGACGTTCCTGGTGCAGTCGGACCCTGACGACCCGCTGATTTCGGGCCCGAACGGTCGCACGACGGCGGCTGTGGACGTCCCGACTGAGGAATTGTTGGACGACTTGGAAGTTCTCTTCGAGTCGTACTGGAAGTACCCCTCGAGGCCCCGCGATGGGCCCCGCGATGGCAAAGTTTCCGTCGAATCGTTCCGTGCGCTCGGCGCTCTGCCAGCGTTCATCCTCCTCGTGCGCGACTTGAAACTCCTCACGTACACCGGAGGTGCGCTTGATCCGAGGGCGACGTCCACCGGGCGGTTCGTCGCCTTTGACCCGTCTGTGGTCGAGGCGGCCGGCTCGCTCGCGCTGCTCGCGCGGCTGCTGAATGAGTGCATCGCCGCCGCGATTGGGTGGGGCTTGCGCCAAACGTCCGCTACGGCATTGACCACTCGGGCGCGCGACTACGCGCTTGCGCGTATCAGCCCTGCCATTCAAATCGTGGGCCGGCAATGCTCGCCGAGACAGAACAACGGACAGTACCAGGACCTTCTTCGTCACCTCTACGCGGAGCTGCAGGTCGCATTATTCATTGAGTACCCGCACTATCTCGCGGCCCGCGAATGCTCGCGCATGACGCTGAAATACCACTTTATCCTCCATCACGGCGCGGCGCGTAAAAAGCCACTCGTCCTCGCGTTCGACATCGCGCGCGATGGAAAGTTGGTCTGCGAAATTGAAGCGCGGCTCGAAGCTGCTGGCTTTCGGCGACCTAACATCACGATTACCTCCCAGATGGTTTCTACTTACGACGCCGTCCGGCTGCTCGTCTCCGAATTTCCGTAAACGCAAGCGTCGTCGTTCCCCGTCGCGCTCCTCTACCTACACGGGCCACCACCGCCGCCGCTTCCCGGGTCACTAGTTCGCCGGGCACATCGCCCTGCTCGCCCCTTAGAACCCCTAGTCGAGGCGCTTCTGCGGCGACACCCGTGCCCGGCGCTGGACCGCTACTCCGTCCGGCCCGCGGTCCTGCTCCGTCGGGAGGCGTCCGTTCTCGGGGCGGCTTCGCTCGAGGCGGCGGCGCTCCTAGGGCCGCTGGACCCGGCGCTCGACGCAGAGCTTCGAGGTCGCGGCCCTGGGCCCGTCCGCGGCGGGCCCGCCGCGGACGCCTGGCTCTTGCTGGAGAAGCACAGCAGCGCGCGGAGCTCGACGGAGGCGTCCGGTCGGCGGGCCGGCGGCGCTCGACGCGGCGCTCGACGCGGCGCTCGGGCCGGCGCCGCTCGGACCGGCGCCACTCGAGGCGGAGCTCCGAGGCCGTGGCCCTGGGCCCGCAGCGGGCCCGCGGACGTCTGGCTAGGGCAGACGCGGAGCTCGACGGAAGCGTCCGGTCGGCGGGCGGGCGGCGCTCGACGCGGCGGCGCTTGGGCTGGCGGCGCTTGGCCTTGCGGCGCTCGAGCTGGCGTCGCTCGACGCGGAGCTCCGACGCGCTGACCGCGGACCCGTCCGCGGCGGGCTCGCGGACGCCGCGTGCTGATGAAGCACAGCAACCGGGGCCGCTGCGTCGACGGACGCGGCGGCCCGGACCTCGGCGTCGAACCGCGGCTCCGCTGGCCACGGGGCTCGCGGCGCGGCGCCGATGGGCCCTTCTGGGCACCACGGCGACGACGGACGTTTCCCATAATTTCTACGCCTCCTGTTCCCCTGATTTGTGTGAGTTCGGCTGGATTTGTTCTTGTTTAGGTTGTGGATGGCGCCGCCTTCGAAAGAATTTTCTAAAATCGTCCTCGACGCGGACATTCCCTCCGTCGACAAGCTGCCGGGCCGCTCCGTCGTCATGCGCCACGTCGTGGACCAGCTCTCCGAGGGCGAGTTGTATCGATTCTATGTGCAAGCGGTCAACGCCAAGGGACGCTCGAGCAGGAGCCCAGTGATGAGTGCTATTGCCGGGACGGTTCCAGGGATGGATTTTGACGGCAACCATACCTATGCTGGCGTTCGCGTGAAGAACATCGATGTCGAACAGCCGCGTCGTCGCATGCCGGAGCCTGCTGATCTCTGATGCACCCATCTACGCAGGTTGGCGAGACGAGCGTACACGTCGGCTGGCGCGCGCCCGCTCCGAATTCCACGGGCGGCTCCGCTATTACTGGTTACAATTTGTACATGTATCCTGGTGCCTCGTCATTCCCTGCGTCGATGCATCTCTGCGTGTCAGATGCTTCAAATTGTATCCTTCATAGGCTGAACTCCGTCTCCGACCCCGACCCGGTGAAGCAGGAAGTCCAACGCGTCATCGTAACGAGCTCCGCGCCGCGAGACGAGACCCAGCGACTGCTCTTCACCAATGTCGACAGCGACACGACGTCGATCCGGCTCTATGTCTCCGGGCAATGGACGAGCACCTCGCTCACCCCGGCAGATTCGAACAGCGTCTGGAGTTCGGCGATTGAGACTGCTCTTGGGTGTTCGGGCTGCGTATCCGTCGTCGGCAACGCGGGCTACTCGTCGTCGAACAAGACGATCAGCTTTCTCGGGACGGGCTCTGTGGACCTCCTTGCTGTTGACGAGGAGAGTATCGTGGCCGCGGACAGCTCGTACGACGCGAATGCGAGCAGCCGCGTCGCAGCGTGCTGGGGCCCGCTGTTCTCTGACGCACCCATCGCAGGTCACCGTCGAGCGGATCTTGTCGGGCAGCTCCGAGCTGACAGGCACCTTCACGCTCAGCTTCGACGGCGCCGAGACGGAGGCTATCGACGTCGACGCAAGCGCCGAGGACGTCAAGGCGTACCTCGAGGACCTGTCGACGCTGTCGGTCGTTGAAGTCTCGCGCAACACGACGTCGTCGTGGGGCGCAGCTGAATGGTTGGTTACGTTCCTGTCGGAAGCCGGCGACCTGCCCCTGATGCGAGCAACTTCGGGAAGGCTCAGCTACGACTCGGCGACGCCCGCGGCGTACGTCGAGACGGTGCTGCCCGGTACGAGCGCCGTGCTCGTCTACAACGGCTCGAACCAGGGCAGGACAAGAGAGCGAAATTCCCAACTTCAAAGGCTCCTTTCTCGGCCGTTTTCCACTCGTTTCGGCTGATTTTTGGACGAGCGATCATCTCTCGGAACGGTCTCGAAGCGTGGAACGCGCGCGCGCGAAACACTCACGTTGAAGCGACATTGAATCTCTCTTGTCCTGCCCAGGCTCGGACGCTCCCGATGTTCTCGACTTCGAAGCTACTGGCTTGACGACCGACTCGCTCTACGCGTTTAAGGTGCAACCGTTGAACTTGGTCGGCGGAGGAGTGCTCAGTCGCGCGTCGATGACCGTGGCGGCTCGCAGCGGTGCCGCTGCGTCTCAGACGACGGCCAGCGGCTCGTCTCTCGCAGTCGGCATGGCGCGCGGCCGGCGTTCCTTTTGCACGTGTTCCCCGACGACCACGAATTTCCCCTAGGCCGGCGTCGTCTACGAGCAACAGGTCGTGTCGCTCGACCTCAGCGGCGGCGACGCCTTCTTGCGCCTTGGGAATGGCTACGAGTGGTCCGCACCCGCGGCGTTTAGTTGTTTATTTAGTTGTTTACTTCAGCAATACTTCAATATGAGCCCATGAACGGCCCCGGCTAACGCCGCCTGCCACGCCCGCCGTTCCTGGCCCGCGTCTTGCGGCGGCGTTGTTGCCACGGGCCCGTGCCGAGAGGTCGATCCGAGAGGGCTTTGGTGGGCACGGGAACGAGCGCTCGGCGCCGGGCTGCCGCGACCACCAATACCCGGGCCTCCGACTCGTCGGGGTCCCGGACGAGGTCGGCGCGCTCTGGCCGCCGGCGCGCCGACGCCGACGCCGCGGGCGGCGGGTCTACGTGCTGAGAGGTCGATTCGAGGCGGCTCGGATGGGCTCGGGAACAAGCTCTCCGCGCAGGTCCGCCGCTTTGACCGGCCAGTCGTCGACGACTAAGTGGATGTCAGTGTTACAGCAGGACGACCTAGCAATCGGTGCCGTTCACGTGACGCGCTCCAACTCGTCTTGGATGGGGACCTCGACGGGCACGCTCGATGGCTGCGTGCGAATCAAATCTTCAAAACGACTTCAACGTGCGCGTGCTCGAACGTTTCGACACGGATTCTTCTGCCGTGCTTCGAGAACTCGCGGAGAGGTAACGACTCGTCCAAAGATCAACCAAAACGACTTCGATTTGGCCGAGCTAGAGAATTTCGAAGTTTTGTTGCGACGGCCCAAACCAGCGGTTGATTTGCGCGCGCAGGTATACCATCACGTTCCTGGACCGCGTCGGAGACGTCCCGCTCTTGGAGCTCTCGGCCAGCGATGCGGGTTTCGTGGAACACGTCGGCTCGAATGTTTCGGAATTTCTGAAAGGGAGGGCTAACACCTTTACGATCGAGCCCAAGAAAGCTAGTGGCGCACAGGGCAGGAAAAGGGTGATTCAAGTTCGCTTCAACATGAGTGTTCCGCGCGCGCGCGTTTCGGAAACAGCACCCACGCTTCGAGAGCGCTCCGAGAGATGATCGCTCGTCCAAAAATCAGCCGAAACGAGCGGAAAACGACCGAGATAGGAGCCTTTGAAGTTGGGAATTTCGCACCCTTTTCCTGCCCAGGTGGCGCTCCCCTCCGCGATTTGACGGCCGCCAGAAAGCGCGAGGGCGAGGACATCTTCTACACGGAGCTCTTCGAGTACGACGAGGACGGCGAGTACGTGCACTACGCAGACGGAGGCGTGGCGACGTGCGCTTCGGCGTCCGTTCACGCGCGCGGCGCGCGCTCATTCTGCGAAACACAACAGGTATAACCCCGCTCAATACGAGATCCAGAAGCTCGTCTTCGACGCCGGCTACAGCGGAGACTACACCATCTCGCTGAACCAGAGCTCCCGCGCGGACGGCGTCAACGACAAGACGGCGGCGCTGTCGTCGGGCTGCACGGCCTACCAGATGAAGGTTGCACTCGAGGCGCTCGACAACATCGAGGCCGTCGACGTCTCGCGCAACGGCAGCTCGGCGACCGGCCTGTCGTACGCCGTGACTTTCAGCCAGCCGACCAGCGTCCGGAGATTCCGTGCCCCCCAGAAACTCGTCTTCTACTGTAGCGCACGACCTCGGCACCCGACCGCTCCTGTTACTGAGCACCAGCCCGTCCGACGGCTACGTCGGGCGCACGCAGGCGGGCATCACTGAGATCCAGACGATCATCCTGTCGGACGCCGGCGCCTTGAAGACGGGCCGCGGGCTCCTGTTCTTCACCGCGCTTCCGCCGCAGGTCCACGGACACGGAGTTCGTCGAGGACACGCAGAGCATCCACGTCAAGACGTCCACGGACGGTGCGGACCGGCGCGGGACCCCGAGAGCCGAGAGTTCGATTCGTCGAGAATCGCCGCGATCAGCGATTTTTGGACCGGTCGAACGGGCACGTGGTCCACGCGAGGATCGACCCGGCTCTTCCGGGCCATCCATTACCTCGAGCGGGGCCGCTGACGACTCGGCGGCGGGCTGCCTGGGGCGTCAGGCCGCGGCGGTGAGCCGCCGAATGAGCCCAATCGCCTGCGATCGAGTGATTTTGGCTGGTCGAACCACCTCGTTCCTCGACGAGATGATGTGGCGCGCTCTTCCGGGTCATCCATCACCTCGAGCGGGGCCGCCGGGGACTCGGCCGTGGGCTGCCAGAGGCGCCCGGCCGCGGCGGTGAGCCGCCGAATGAGCCTGATCGGCCCGATTCCCGCGATCGAGCGATTTTGGCTGGTCGAACCGCCTCGTTCCTCGACGAGATGATGTGGCGCGCTCTTCCGGGCCATCCATCACCTCGAGCGGGGCCGCCGGGGACTCGGCCGTGGGCTGCCAGAGGCGCCCGGCCGCGGCGGTGAGCCGCCGAATGAGCCTGATCGGCCCGATTCCCGCGATCGAGCGATTTTGGCTGGTCGAACCGCCTCGTTCCTCGACGAGATGATGTGGCGCGCTCTTCCGGGCCATCCATCACCTCGAGCGGGGTCGCCGGGGACTCGGCCGTGGGCTGCCAGAGGCGCCCGGCCGCGGCGGTGAGCCGCCGAATGAGCCTGATCGGCCCGATTCCCGCGATCGAGCGATTTTGGCTGGTCGAACCGCCTCGTTCCTCGACGAGATGATGTGGCGCGCTCTTCCGGGCCATCCATCACCTCGAGCGGGGCCGCCGGGGACTCGGCCGTGGGCTGCCAGAGGCGCCCGGCCGCGGCGGTGAGCCGCCAAAATCACTCGTTCAGCCGCGATCGGCGATTTTTGGACCGGTCGAACGGGCACGTGGTCCACGCGAGGATCGACCTGGGTCGCTCGGGCGGCCCATCACCTCGAGTGGAGTCGCCGGCGACTTGGCTATGGTCTGCCTGGGGCGCCAGGCCGGCGGCGGGGAGCCGCTGAGAGGGCTGCTCGGACTTCAAAATCTACTCGGACCCCCGGCCATTCGTGACCCCCGGCCAAAAGAAACTGAAATCAGTTTCTGGCCTGGGGTATTCCGCGCGCGCGCCTCATCCGGCCGCTCGCCTCCTGAGCCCCCCTCTTCGCAGGCTACTTCACGCTCCGATTGGGCGATGGCACCGATTACACGACGTCCCTCGACCTCACGAGCGCAACGAACGCCGAGGTCGAAGCGGCGCTCGAGGCTTTGGACGGCGTGTACGACGTCTCCGTCAGCGACGGTACGGCTGACGCCGGCTCCTTCACTGGAAACGCGTGGGACGTGACCTTTCACAGCCCCGTCGGCGACGTGAGCAATTTAGTGGTCCTCGACTCCTCGGGCGACGATGACGGCGACGTGACCTACAACGTCGTGGAGCTCGTCCGCACGCCGCGTGGAAATCACAAACTTCAACCCGACTTCAACTTCCGCCTATTTGAACGTCGCAGCGCGAGGTCTTCTACTCTCTGTAGAGAACCCATTGAAAGCAAACGCCTCGTCCAAGAATCAGCCAAAACGACTGCGATTCGACCGAGCTAGAGAGCTTTGAGGCCTATCAGCTACTCTTCAACGCGAGAAATCTCGTTCGAGCCCCCGCGCCCACCGGCCCTCGACCCGCGGCGTGCACATCCTCCCGGGCATGCCTCGGAGGCTCGAGCCGCCGCCGCGGTGCGGGGGCGAGGAGGTGCGGGAGGCCCGCGGCAGCACCGGCTCCCTTCAATGCGAGAGACTGTGGTCCGGAAGCGGCTCGTCGGCGGACCGACGTCGTCCCGCGACGCTCCGGCCGGCAAGCCAGTCACCTGGCGCGCCGGCCGTCGCCGGGAGGCGGTCCGCGGGAGCTGCCCCGGCGACGACCGGATCGCGGTTGCCGACCCAAGGCGACGTCGCGGCTTTTTGGAAGTTCGTCCACGACGATGTCGGGCGCGGCTCACCGCTGGGCTCACTCGTCCATGTCCTCGCAGGTCAAGGGCGACTCCGGGCTTGCGGGGACATACACGGTAGCGTACGAGGGCTCGTACTCCGCGGATATTGCCTACGAGGCGACGGCCGCGGATGTCAAGAGCCTGCTTGAAGATCTAGACACGATCGACGAGGCGCACCGCCGCGTCTTTTGGCGTTTTGCCTCACTTCAACAAAAAATGGTGCCTTCAACCAACTCGCTGCACTTAGGTCGACGTCGAGAAGGAGGTCCTTGGTTCGAGCATCAAGTACACTGTAACCTTTACCAAGCAGCAGCTTCCCGCGCCTTGAAATTTTACGCGCCCCAGCGCCCGTCGCCGCCGTCGCCGCGCCGCGCCTCGCGCGCCTCCAGGGCTGCCGGGTCGACGCCGTCGCGCGCGCGTTCTTCTCCCCCCAAACCCCCCAAACCCGCGCAGGCTCGGCAACCTCCGCGAGCTCGCCGCGTCGCCCTACGTCTACGAAGAGCAGACGATCTCCACGACCGGCGGCGACCCGACGCCGCTCGGCGGCTCCTTCAGCCTGACGTTCTACAACGAGACGACGGGGCCGATCGCCTACGACGCCTCCGCGGACGCCGTCAAGGCGGCGCTCGAGGGGCTGCCGAGCATCGACCGCGTCGACGTCGCCAAGGTCGAGGGCAGCTACGGCCAGGCCGACTGGCTCGTGACGTTCCGCTCGGAACTCGGCGACCTCGACCTCCTCGACTGCGACGCCAGCCTCACGACGGGGAGCGACGCGGCGTGCGCCGCCGACGAGATCGTCGCCGGCGACAGCGACTCGCTCACGGGCAACACGCCGACGGTCCACACGGAGGAGAAGGTCGCGGGCCTGCCGAGCTACACCGGCATGTTCACGCCGGCCGCGACGGGCGACTACGACGTCGTCGTGCGCCAGCTCACGCAGGGCGGCCTCTCGGCGGAGTACTTTGACAACCAGTGGCTCCAGGGCGATCCGACGGTCGAGCGCATCGACGCGGCGATCAACTTCGACTGGGGTCGAAAGCGGCGCGGCGATGACCGTGTTTTCTCTGCTAGGAGGCAGAGAACGATAGAGCCTTGGAGAGAACCGCAGAGCTTCGAAGCCCCCGCCGCGCGCTCCGCGCCTCCACCGCAAAACTTTTTAGGCACGGGCGCGCTGACCCCCTACGGCCGCGACTACGTGTCCGCGCGCTGGAGCGGCAAGCTCAAGGCCTCCTACAACGAGATCTACACCATCTTCTGCCGCGCCGACGACGGCATCCGCCTCTACGTCGACCACGAGCTCGTCGTCGACGCCTGGGAGAACGCGAGCGTCACCAACGGCGGCCAGCGCGTCGACCTCCGGCTCAGCGCCGGCGGCTACCACGACATCGTCGTCGAGTACAAGGAGGTCACCGGGGCGGCGTCCGTGTCGCTCTACTGGTCCTCCTACTCGACCACGTACGCGCCGATCCCGTCGGGCGCCGCGCCGGACGATATCTTCAACGCGACTTCAATACCTTGACGCGACGTTCGTTCGGGCGGCCCGGNG